TAATCATTTTGTGTATGAATGTCCGAAGTTCAAACAAATGAACTATGATGATAGAATGGGCGAAGTAAAAAGGTTGAAATTGTGCACTAAGTGCTTACGTAGTGGGCATAATAGTTATCAGTGTCGTTTGAAGGGTTCTTGCAAAATATGTAAAGATAAACACAATACTTTGATTCATAAAGATAACTTGAATACTTCTTCGCTACAAAATGCAAATAGTCAACAGAATGAACCGGTTGCGTTATCAGCTACGACGATGACTCATACGTTATTGTGTACGGCGCAGGTAGAAATCCTTAATGAGTCGAACAATAAAAAGGTTAAGGCGCGAGCATTATTGGACACTGGTAGTCAATCATCATTTTTAACCGAAGCTATGCGAGAGAAATTAGGGTTCAATAAGAATTATAGTGAAATCTTAAAGGTTTGCGGTCTAAATAATATCAAATCTAACATTTTAGGAAAGTGTATCGTGACGATTAAATCTTGTTCATCTACGTTTAGCACCCCAGTCTCTTGTTTGTTAGTGCCGACGATAACAGGTATTTTACCCAGCGTTGAAATAGACGTTTGCGAGTTAAATATTCCGTGCGGTATACAACTAGCGGATCCAAGGTTCTTCCAGCCTTCCACTATAGATATACTTTTGGGGGCTGACGTTTTTTGGAACATTATTGGGACAAATCAAATTAAGTTAGGGTCAAATAAACCTACTTTACAAGAATCACAATTAGGGTGGTTAATAGCCGGCCCACTCGGTAACAGTCAATCCAAGTCTGAGGTCTATTGTTATTTCAATCAGTTTTCGAATATTGATAATTCCCTGAAGAAGTTTTGGGAGATTGAAGAACTACCTGCAAAGACAAAAACATACTCATTAGAGGAGCAGTTTTGTGAAATTGAGTTTATAGAAAACACAACTCGCTTATCCGATGGTCGGTTTTGTGTACGTATGCCCTTAAAGGAACCTGAAACTAGTCTTGGTGATTCATACTACATGGCAAAGAAACGTTTCTTAAATTTAGAATTGAAATTAAATAAAAATCCGAAACTTAAGGAGTCATACACTAGATTCATAGAAGAATATAAAGAATTAGGTCACTTAAGTGAGGTAGATCGCCCAAGATTTGGCAATTACCTTCCACATCACTGTGTACTTCGCGAGAACAGTGAAACGACGAAATTGAGAGTAGTGTTTGATGCCTCAGCTAAAACATCATCTGGCAAGTCATTAAATGACATACAGGCGGTAGGCCCAGTAGTGCAGTCCGATTTATTCTCTATTTTGTTACGATTTCGCGGGCACAGGTTTGTTCTCTTAGGAGATATTGAGAAAATGTACAGACAAACTGCCTTGCATGAATCTCAACGTCACCTTCAGTTAATTTTGTGGAGGGATTCATCCGTTAGTACGGAACCAAATAATAATGGAAATTTAAAGGTTCTACAATTAAACACAGTAACGTATGGGATGGCCAGCGCTCCGTTTTTGAGCACCAGATGTCTATTACAATTGGCTAAGGAGTGTAATGATGACGTTATTGCGAGAATAATAAAAAATGATTTTTACATTGACGACTTAAATACGGGTGCGAATAGTGAAAGTGAATTACAGAATATATGTGAATGTTAAAAAATTTTAGATTCAGCATGTTTTCCCTTAAGAAAAATTCGTACTAACTGTTTGCACGCACTTGATTGTGATGATAGTGTATTCGACCCGTAAATTTGACTAAAGAATCCAGCGTGCTGGGTTTAAATTATTCTCCAAAACTCGACATCATTCAATTTCCCGCGAAGGTGGAATCGCCACCGCAAATTGTTACAAAAAAGGTCGTAATAGCTACTATTTCTAAAATATTTGATCCGTTGGGATTAATTTGTGCATGCATTATTAAAACTAAAATATTTTTACAACAATTATGGGTCATAAAATTAAATTGGGACGACCCCATACCACAAATTCTATTGGATACGTGGTTAAAATTTATTTCTAATTTACATTACATTTCTAATATTAAAATTAATAGATATGTTCTTTGCGATAACCCCGTGTCAATAGAATTGCATTGTTTTGTTGATGCGTCACAGAAAGCATATGCCTCATGTGTATATTTACGGTCAACAAATAAAAAAAAAATGAGGTCACTGTTAGACTTTTGTGCGCAAAGGCACGTGTTGCACCCTTAAAACCTATTACTATACCGAAATTGGAATTACTTGGTACTTTGCTGGGAGCTAGATTATGTGATAAAATTATACAGTCATTACGATTTAATATAACTAACAAAACTATTTGGACAGATTCGACAGTTGTCTTAGGTTGGCTAAGAACTGATGTAAGAAATCTTAAAATGTTTGTCTGCAATAGGGTTAATGAAATTAACGAGCTAACAAGTGGTTTCGAACACAGACATGTACCTACGAATATGAACCCAGCTGACTTGGCCTCAAGAGGAGTTGAACACCAGGACCTTTTATCTTCTTCATTGTGGTGGGAAGGTCCTTCTTTCCTACAGAAGGAGCGTTCAGAGTGGCCACAGAATTCTTTCGTAGTTCAAAACTTACCTGAGTTAAAGGTACATTCTTTGATAGCTGCATTGGACAATTCTGATGACGGTAGTTTATTTATAGAATTTAAAAGGTACTCGAGTTTCAATAAAATAAGTAGAATATTTGCCTATGTGTTACGTTTTGTTAACAATTGCAATAAAAACAAACATAAATATTCAGGCCCTATAAGTTCAGACGAAATAAATAATTCAGTGGTATTACTAATAAAAAAAATGTCAAGTACAATCGTTTCCTTTTGAAATTGGGTTACTCAGGCAAGGAAAACAATTACCACAAAAGAGTAAATTACTACAGTTGACTCCATTTGTGGATTCACACGATATAGTTCGAGTGGGTGGTCGTTTGGGAAACTCAACTTATAATTTCGATAAGAAGCACCCTATACTATTACATTCAAAACATCATTTTACCAAGCTATTAATGATTAATGAACATATACGTTTGTTCCACGCAGGTCAACAGCTGCTGTTAGCGTCAGTGCGTGATAAATACTGGCCTATTGGTGGAAGATGTTTAGCGCGGCAAGTAGTTAGACAATGTATTATTTGCGTTCGTCTAAGAGCGGATACGATGCAGCCAATAATGGGTCATTTACCTGAGGCGCGTACAAATGCTTGTTTTCCTTTCTACTCGTGTGGAGTTGACTTTGCTGGACCTTTCATGATTAGTAACCGGAAAGGTCGTGGTAATCGTATCACTAAATGTTACTTATGTTTATTTGTTTGCCTCAGTACAAAGGCAATACATTTAGAGCTGGTGAGTGAATTGAGTACTCAAGCTTTTATTTTATGCCTAAAACGGTTCATATCACGTAGAGGAAAATGTCATGAGATTTTTTGCGACAACGGCAGGAATTTTGTGGGTGCGAACAATGAACTGGGTAGGTTGCTTAGATCCAGCCGTCAGTCTGTTAGTGATTATGCTACTTCTGAAGGAATCAAATTTGTATTTAGCCCCGCATATTCTCCCCACTTTGGTGGTATATTTGAAGCTGGAATTAAATCAGCAAAATTTCACTTAAAACGTGTAGCTGGAAATGCTGCTTTGACGTTTGAGGAGCTAGCAACGCTATTTGCGCAAATCGAAGCTATCCTTAACTCACGTCCGCTGACTCCTCTCTCGTCCAATGTTACTGATCCTTCTCCTCTGACCCCAGGCCACTTCTTAATTGGGAGACCACTTACGTCTATTCCGACGAAGCCCATCACTGCTACTAGACCAAACAGATACGAGCTTATTGAGAAAATAAGGCAGCACTTCTGGGAGCGGTGGCGCCTTGAGTACATCTCCGAGTTGCAGCAACGCACCAAATGGCGCACCGGGCAACAAGGCCTCGCCTGCGGGGACGTGGTGGTACTGAAGGAGGACAACTTACCGCCATTACAATGGCGGATGGGGCGTGTGTGTCGCCTCTACCCAGGGGCCGATGGCGTTAGTAGGGTGGCTGACGTCACTACTTCGAGGGGCATTATACGAAGGGCTATCAATAAACTATGTCTTCTGCCCACTTCAGAATCGAAAGATGACAACGAACCAGAGGGAGGCGTCCCGAGGCTCCAGACCTCGTCTACTTCTTGAAAGCTAATGCTTTCAACGCGCCGGAGGATGTTCACGCATCTAACGTGTGGACCACAGCGGCGGGAGACGCGGCGGGCGGGGGACGCACACAGCTGATCGGGCGCACCGCCGCCGCGCCCCGATCGGCTCGCAGACAGATTTGGTCAGCGACAGAGGTGTCGTGCTCGAAGAAATTACTTATATATTTAATCGATTAAAGTAATTATTTATCTAAAGCTTGATCTAAGATAGTGATATTTATTAATTAATGGAATAGAATCGTTTTTATTAACGAGGGAATCAAAAGTGTCCCTGAACTCAAGCCACTTTAAATAGTTCCCGTCAAACTTTGGCAAATTTATAGTAGGTAACTTTATGGAATTCATGGAATGTGAATATTGATTGGACATACTTTCATCATGTAATGATCTCTTCTCAGAATTCGCACATTCAATCAATTCCTTAGCCGTGGAAAGAAGGGAAAAGAATTGCGACTCAATAGAATCCCGCTCATTTAACTGTTCATCGTCATTTGAAGAGAGTAATTCAATATCTGATTGTATGATGTTAAAATCCGACAGCAATTCTTGAAACTTATCTACCCGCAAAGATATTTCTTTGACTTGAATGCTAGTTATCTTTTTCGCGCCTATCTGGGTTAAAACATTCACATAGTCTTTGAATTTTGTTAATCTACCTTTGACTATGCTACGCTTTTTGACAAGCTCCTTTAAAGATTCTCTTCCTTCCATGACAACTCAATAAAAAGAAATCGAACAACGAACTAGGCAAAATATTGAAATGATCAAACCAGTTATAACGGTTCCGTCGCCGGGAGATCCAACCGCCCCGCCGTAGCTACTACTCGGATGCTGGATGGATTCGCAAACCCACAAGCCAAGCACTACGCAAAGGTAACCTGGAATTTACATAAATGTGTCACGTTAATATTTAAGTATGTGACAAATTTTTGTGAAGGGTAGGTGAAACAAAATTATTGGAAAAATAATTGAACAAACAGCCACATCCAGATTTCAAATATTTAGCTAGGAAGTAAGTAGCGCAACTGGCAATATGATTTTAAGCTAAAACCATCATCGAATGGGATTTCTAAAATTTGAGTACCGTCTTTGTAGACACAATTATAGAACAATAGGTTAAACAATTTAATAGGAATGAAAATAATAAAGCGATAGGTATGTATTTATAGGCAAGCTTTCGCAATAGCCGAAGCGTAAATTACAAAGAAGAATAGTAATAGTGGACCTAGAATACTATCCTGTAACGCTATCGGAGCGGCAAGCCGTACGCAAATCGAAAAGGAAAATGAGGAATAGTGGATAGAATAAAAGGCCAACTTCCCTTGGGTATTCCGCCAGACGTCCTCCAGCAGTCCTCAGCAAAGTTTTCACTCCACCAGGGTAGAAGGCAGGAATCCAACCTAATCTCCTTGTTCCGTAATTTCAAATTCCAAACGGTTTTCCGTTATTCTTCGATGGATATCCGAAGATTACAGCTTTGAGTCGCTATTGTCAACGGTCGCCAAAATGTTCAGGATTTAATAATGAACGACTCGCTTTAGATAAATAATTACTTTAATCGATTAAATATATAAGTAATTTCTTCGAGCACGACACCTCTGTCGCTGACCAAATCTGTCTGCGAGCCGATCGGGGCGCGGCGGCGGTGCGCCCGATCAGCTGTGTGCGTCCCCCGCCCGCCGCGTCTCCCGCCGCTGTGGTCCACACGTTAGATGCGTGAACAACATTTAAGATTGTATAATAAAAAATACTTTTCCGAAATATTATTAACCATGAATTGAAAATGTTTACATTATTTTGTCCTATAACGGCTATTTTGTACCTAAATTACGATTTAAACTTTCCGCTTGGAAAGAGACAATCATATACCGACCGGCTGACGACCAACGTTCGTGATACAGACTGTCGAGTAACCTGACTCCGACCGACCCAAACTGACATTGTAAAATCAACTCTAATACTTAGCAGTAGAGTGGAAATTTGAAAACAGTGATCTTTAAAAAACTATTCATGCATTTTTTGTGGATTCGGTACCGAAATTACATCTACATGACAATCACACGTACATGTACAAGTACCTACATATGATAGTCCGCTTCAGACTCAGAATAGCGCTTTCGCTCTCCACTCTTGCTCTGATCCCAAACTGGGCGTTGTGCAACTCAACCTGTTAAGTGAGACGACTGTCCAGCAGACTGTCAAGTACTTTCGCTGTTATGGTTGCGAGTGAGATGTGTCGATAGTTATTCATGCCAGACGTATCACCAGGCATAATTACCGTTCTCATAAGCGGTTCTGATAAGTACGAGTGACCAACTTTTTACACAAACTAAAAAACATGGATAATACTCGCGGTAAATGAACCCTTGCATGTTTAAAGTGCTCAATACTGAGTCCTCCGTAACCAGGAGACTTAATTTCCACGCTGCATTCTACTAATAATTTTAGCGACACTCCTTGCAGATATTTTTATATTCTGCCTCCCACACTCTCAGACTACAGGATGTGGCACCTAAAGGCGACCGCACCGTAAAGTGCTCCCTAAAAGTCTCTGCTCTACCTATGTGATCAACAGAACCACCTACACCCATCGGATTGCTAGACCTAACATTCAATCTGTTGGTACTTGGTATGCTTTCAAAAACTTTTAAAATCCTTAGAAGAGCGGTCGACTACAAGAAGTTCCATCGTAAAAGGTTCTTGTCTATCCTGACACCATTTCAATTTTACCTTAAAATGTTTCCTCCCCTCCGTCATCTCATTAAAGATTCAACCATTGGCTGGATGCCCACCCAAGTTCCACACGCTACGTACTTATTTTACCCAATGCCATGTTTGCATGGCCGCGCGAGACAGCATGCTACTAATTTATTCATACAACTTATCAAGAATTGAGCGATTATCTTTGTTACTGCAAAAACCATGACACTTCACAATATCATCCGATCCATAAAAAAGGTAATCGATCTAATCCGTCCAACTATAGACCGATACCCATAACTTCCCTCTTCTCGAAGATAATGGAATCCATTATTAACTGCCAGCTCCTGCGTTACTTAGAGGATCATCAGCTGTTCAGTGATCAGCAATACGGTAATTACAATTTCGTGACAATTTCGTAAAGGTCGGTCTGCTGGTGATCTTCTAGTTTACCTAACGCACCGGTGAGGATAGACAATCGACTGTAAGGGGGAAGCGTTGGCAGTAAGTTTGGACGTGGCGAAGGCCTTCGATTGGGTTTGGCACAGGGCGCTTCTTTCGAAGCTTTCTTCCTACGGGCTTCCCGAGAAATTATGCGAATGGGTCTCGTTCTTCCTTACAGACAGAAGCATTAAGGTTGTTGTTGACAGTGAATGCTCTGACTTGCTGTCTGTAAACGCAGGCGTCCCTCAAGGCTGCGTGCTAACGCCTACATTGTTCCTCCTTCATATTAATGACATACAGCACAGGCGATGCCTACTACACCGGCCGCGTTAACATTTCTCGGGAAAACGTCATAGAGAGCCGAAACAGACTCGTGTCTGAAATCGAGACCTCTTTAGGGAGAATCTCTGATTGGGGTGGACTTAATTTGACCTGGCTACACGTCGTCGCTCATCGTGCTGGTGGGCTGATACAGTAGGGTTATTAGTGTAAGATAATAAGATTAGATTATAATAATTAGGTAACAATATCAAGTACTTTGTGTAGTGATATTAGTGGTTACCGTAGCATGAAAGTTCTTTATAACTGTAATATGACAAGGGCACGGACACAAGTCCGTGGAGAAATAAAATTTATTATTATTAAAAAAAAGGTCTGTTCATTGATTTACAATCAAAACGTATTATAAGCTAGGTTCGCTAAAGATGGCCCGCTTCCTAAGATGGCCCACTATATGATTATCCAAAACATTTGAAACTTTATCCGTCTTATTACAAAACCCGATCTATTTTTAGTACCAGGATTAATAATTTTTTTTTTTTTTTAAGGGCGGAAAATCATCGAATGACTGCTCCCGCCTGGGTGAGGCGGAAGGGAGTGTCAGACTCTTACTGACTAAAAACCACCCCGTTCCTTCTCCTGCACGTCGAGCCGGAGCCCCGGTTACCCGTTAGGTTCTCCGCGACTCCGAATCGGCATCGGCCCTATTGAGCCCCATCTGTGGTGGTCTGATGGCTCTTTGAGGCGCGCGCGGAACGCGACGCGCCGTACGCTCGGGTCTGTTTCTGGTCGGACGGGGAGCCACCCATGCTCGCCGTCCGCAGGCCCGCGCTTACGGTGGCCGGAGATCGTCCCGCGATCCCCGACGCCCGGTGTGTCCTTCGCGATGGCTGGGTTGCGAGGAGGCAGCGCTTCGCTGCCTCACGCGTCCCGCCTCCTCCTTAGCTAGCATGACTGCTTCGCAAAAGGAGGAGACGGCATCCCAGTCCCCCTCGCTCCGCATCATGGCCTGCACTAGGCCCGGACGCGAGAGGTCGCCATCGCCGATCACTTCCCTGAGGGCACGGCGGTGCTCAGCCCACGCAGGGCATTCTCCCACTGTGTGTTCCACCGTGTCCTCAGGGCGGTCCTCGCAGTGATGACACCCGGGCGTTTCCTCCCGCCCCATCAGACACAGGTACCTCCCGAAACTTCCATGTCCGGTGAGGACCTGCGTCAGGCGGTAGGTGAGGACGCCGTAGCGTCTCTCAAGCCACTCCTCAAAGAGGGGTCTTACCGCTGCAATGGCAGCGAGCCCAGTCCTCGGTTGCGACAGTCGTTGCTGCCATTCCGCCATGAGATCGCGCCGGAGCTCATCCCGCCACGCACTTATCTGGCGCGGCAGAGGAGTTTCGCCCCGGCGACGTGCCTCCGCGCGCATGCGATACACGCGCGCGAGCACCTTCGCCTCCAGATCCCACGGCGGTGATCCGGCAAGGAGGTTCGCCGACTCCCCGGAGATCGTGCGGTATCCGCGGATCATTCGGATCGCCATGACCCTCTGTGACATGAGCAGCGTCCGAGCGGGACGCCGCAGCATGTTCGGCGCCCACACAGGGGCGCCGTAGAGGGCCATGGACCGCACGACCCCGGCGTATAACCTCCGGCAGGAGGCGTTTGGCCCCCACCAGGATTAATACTAGGTTTAAACCATGACTAAATAAAACGTTATTATAAAACAAAGTTTATCAGACTGCCTCGTTGGCCGAGTGGTCGCAAGCGCGGCTGCCGGGCAAGGGGTCTCGGGTTCGATCCCCGGGTAAGGCAAAGTATTACTGGGGTTTGTAAAAAATCTCAGTAGTAGCACGGAGTCTGGAATTGTGCCCGGTATATGGCAATAGGCTCACCCCCTATTACATGGAACTCATAACATAAATAGTGAAAAGTGGGTGTTACATTGTACAGTGGCATAATGTGCACCTCTACCTACCCCTCGCGGATAAAAGGCGTGATGTTATGTTATTTATCACTAGTTCCGGAACTATCTATGGTACTAAAGTTAAACCGCCGAGACCCCTAGTTTAACTTCGGTACTAAAGTTATTTGAGGTTAGCTATCAGAAATACTTACGTGTATCTTCTATATTATTATAATTGTAAAATGGATATTGAACCGATTGATGTTATGGATTTAAAAGATTTGGAAGATTTGGACATGTTAGAGACGTCTCGGCGATCGTACAGACATCGCCATCGTGTAAATAAATATCCCTTTGACTTGAGTGACGAAGACTTTCGATATAAGTACAGTTGTTGTTCCATTTCCAGTCAGTCACAATAAACAATAATATTTATATAATAAAAAAGACTCAATATTTGTTTCGTGATTCGTGCTCTGCCGCCTTCTTATAAGTCGCTCCATTTCACGCTAGAGGTGTTAAAAAATATGACAACTTGGTTATAAAAAGCTCGTCAAAATACAAGTTGTGCTTGTTCACTATATTGTAACACAAACAAAAAACAATTTATGATATAATTTTGTGTTGATACATAATTATTTAAGCATTTCAGGCGTTATTGTAATAACAATATTTAGACGAACGGAACGGTGCTTCAAGTGGATCCTGAGTGAACGAATGAAAGAATGTTATTTATGTTTTTTATCAAAGTCAAAAGTCAAGTCAAAATCATTTATTTCAATTAGGCCAGAATGGCACTTTTGAACGTCAACAAAAACAAAAATTTAAAGTGAAGCTATTTGCTCATTCCAAGGCGTAGATTCCTATGGAGAAGAACGAGCAAGAAACTCCATATCTGTGGGACTATGGACTTTCTTTGATACTAGCTGATCCCCGAATAGTCTTAGTTTTATAATTGGAACAAATTTTAGTCCTGGCACTAGCTTTAACTCGTCGAGTACCGGTTTTATAGATGTCGTAGGATAATTTGATACTTCGAATCTTCGCGGAAATCCTAGGGGTTTTGCGAAAACGCGGATAATTAGACATAGGCGAAAAATTATCAAATTCTACTGGACAAAGTCAGGATTTTTGCGAAAATACTCATTACTATAGTAAGATTGCGAAACGAAACGCTGGCTGTTATGAAATAAGAACGCTGATTGGTCGGTCAGCGCGTTCAATAAGAGATCGTCTCTGATTGGTTGACGTCTTTTAAATGATTTTTCGTCGTCTTAAACGACCAGTTTCATCCAATTTATGGATTACACCCTAAAATTGGATCATTTTTTTTACTACGACTGAGATCTTCTATTGTCTGTAGAAAACAACATACATACTAAAATTTTCAATAAAAGGTTTATAAAAATCAATTTAGTGATTTTTCTTTCTCACCTATTCTAAACCTTCATATCTCTATGATACAATACTTGAAGTTAATCATCGGCAAACTAGGAACCAATTAGAAGTCAGCCAGCAAAATTGTAGCCAATCAGTGTTGAGCACATCAAATCTTACTATAGTAACGAGTATTTTCGCAAAAATCCTGACTTTGTCCAGTAAGATTTGATAATTTTTCGCCTATGTCTAATTATCCGCGTTTTCGCAAAACCCCTAGGATTTCCGCGAAGATTCGAAGTATCAAATTATCCTACGACATAGACACAATTAAAGAACAATAGGTCGCGGTCACCGGTGACCGCTTGGTGTTTGACAGTTTAATACCGTAACAAACCTAGATCTTATAGTCCGGGTTTAAACCAGTACTAAGTCGAACTTTTGTAATAAGACGGTTTAGGTTTATGCTATTACCGCCCTAAACTAAAGTGCCTCGAAAACGACGTAAAAGTACGAAAACCTCTCGTTTTCGTAACCGGCGCATCACCAATTTAAACTCAGACGACATTTTACTTGGTCACGTTAAGATGATACCCGTTTTACTAAATCCACTATTATAAATATGTTTTAGAAAATTAACAAAAAGGCAAATCTCTTTGCTGTAAACAGTAAACATTCTTAATTCATCTGTTTACTCAACTGCAAATTACACAAAATAATAACTATGTTATTTCTCGTTTTGTATTTCAACGAGATTTTTTTTCAACCCAAGTGTATTCGCCTAAGATATCCCACGCCCACAGTATGGATCTCGAAGATGAATGACTCAAAAATTCATTTTTCACAAAAATCAACTGATGTATTTTTTTATGTTAACTTTTTAATCTGAAAGTGAAATTTAGTTTTATTTGTTTTTTTATTGGTTATTTTTTTATTTTCATTGACTTACGATGGCTTTACACGTTTTAGTTGACTATTTAACTTTGTATGAATAATATTATAAGGAGGAAGTCTGTTTATTACGAAGTTTTATGTTAACACTATTAAATTGTTTAAAATACTCCAATTTGCAATACTTTTCTCGGGCTATCTTTGGCGACTATGTTCCTAAGATGGCCCAATAGTTAACAATGTTTATATTTGTATTAAAATGGCAAAAACTGTAATACTTTTTTGGATATCTTGATTGTCAAATAAATGGAGGTTGTACCTCCAATATTTTTTTTCTCTACTGAAAGTGTTACTTTGTAACCCATTTGCAGAAATAAATACTTATCATGCAAATAGACGCCGAGTAACGTGACCCGGCACGGGTTCGATTTCGTGTGATATTTGTTATTTCCACAAATATAAATGTATTTCGTTTAAATTGATTCATTTAATGAGAATTGAGCAAATTGACATTTTTAAGTCGTTAAATAGTTTTTCAATCGTGCGTAAAAAGATGAGCACATATCTTTTTTTTTATCTTATAATGTAATTCGTCTGATTGCAGCCGAGCGGAGATGTGCCAGGCACCCAGTGCAGTCGCGTGACCCGAGCAGCGCCCCGCCTCACGCGCACACACATACTTTATGAGGTGAGCACCCAGGAACTATCCAATTCTACTGTCTGTTTTCAGATGGTGAAGGAACATTTTTATTTCTTGCTCTACGTTTGTACTCTAAAATGTAGAATCCTTTACAAGATGTAGCGAATCTTTGAGTATCAAGTGGGAAACTGCGGGACCGTGTAGCTAGAACACACCGCCATTAAAACACGTTAAGCTGTAAAATTACGCCATCGAAAAATAAGAAAAGGACAGAGAAAACGTTATGTTAGCTGTTCGGCAAAGGAATACCATCATCGTCAATGTATTGTTGGTTGGAGCTAACACATCAAAATACTGGACAACAAAAAAACAAAAACTAATAACAAACAATAAGTAAAAAGCAAAAATAACTATTATTAGCACTGATGGGTTACCCACCCACTGATAAGTTAGAAGTCGGTGTCATAAGTTCATATCATAATGATACAACTTAATGGCTAAAAAATTGTAAATTAGATATCTATAAAGTTCCAATGAAAAATTTTGTATAGAACTTATAACACCGACTTCTAACCTATCAATGGGTGGGTAACCTATCAGTAGGTACTAATAATAGGTATTTTTTGCTTTTTAGTTTTTGTTTGTTATTAGTTTTTGGTTTTTTGAAGTCGGTTTTTTGAACGCAGTTTTTATTTTATCATTTTTAGTGTAAAGTTACTTAGATCCGTTCTGTCACTTATAATCTACATAGGTGCAAAGTTCTCATCAATACAAATTAATCAAGCCCAAACACACGGTAGTTAATATAAATCATTGAGGCGTTCCCTCGACTGACTATCGGCTCAACCATCAGGTCGACTCCAGAACCTTATCAAATTGTAGTGTTTAAAAATCCTAATTGAAAAACACAATAGACGCATTACTCGCCCCTACAATTTTCGAAAATTCCCCCCTCGGATCCCTAGGACTCCATCATCAGACCCTGACCTCATGGAAATGGGACCTATATCTCGGGAGTAGACCCTTTCAAACAAAACAAGAATTTTGGTAATCGGTTCACAAATGGCGGAGTAATTGGTAAACAAACAAAAAAAAACAATCAGGTGAACATAGTACCTCCTCCTTTTTGGAGTCGGTAAAAAGGAGGAATGGGTTTAGTATGATGTGTTGGACTAGACATTAGACTATGACATCATTTGACTGTCACTGACTAAATTGGGTATTTTCCTGTGTCAAAAATTAATTATTTCGATTTTTCAATCCAATTAAATATTTAAAAATGATTAGAATTTCATTCATATATTTGACGATATACTTAATTTTTGATGTAATCTAGGATTTTTTCAGAAATAATTGTGTTATTTGACTCGAAAATATGATGACGTCATAAGTTAATTTTTGGTTTACAAAATTCACAGAAAAATATCGATCTTGACGTTTCGATAAAAGTATTGAATTTGATTAGTTGTAAAATACCGTATTATGTTAATGTTAGAAAGAAAGAAAGAAAGAAAAAAAGAAAGAAATAAATAAAGAAACCATTTATTTTGCTACGACACACAACAAGAATTTAGAAACACAAAAAAGCCTATGGTGCGTCGCAGCGCAAAAGGCTGGAGCTCAGCTTAATACCATGGACCGGGCACAGAGGCTCGAGCCCCCGGCGCTGATTTTCAGCACCAGCCCGTTATAGTAGGTACTAATTAAACACCTACGGTAACGCTGTTCGGAGCACAGCATGATGTATATAATACAATTAATATAAAAGTGAAAACAAAATCAACAGAAACGATTACTGCCAAAAATCTGAATAAAAATCTGGATACACAATAAATAATTAAAATAATCACATGAACAAAATGACATTATACATACATATTAATGACAATAGCACATAGTGAAAATAAATATAATTACATTCAAAAACAACAATTATACTGTGCCCCCTTATTACACTGAACCCCACTTGACTCTATTTGTTACGTAACGTAATTAAGGCATACGGTTATTTCTTCTGAGTGTTATGTACTCTAGCAGACATCCTAGGTGAAGTGTTAATTAATGAAGTAATGATGCGGTTGTGGTTTCAGGGAGGCGGCGCGTGGTGCAGCGCGATGCGTGGCGTGCGGGGCGTGCGTGCGTGGCTGGCGCTGGCGGCGCTCTGGGGGCTCGTGTGGCGCGCCAGCGGCGGCCCCGGCCCGCCCGTCGAGCTGCGCTTCTCCAGCGCGCTCTACAACCTCTCCATACCTGAGAACAGTCCGCCGCGCACCTACGCACTGCAACCGCCCGCCGACGACCCGCTGGGCGTGCGCTTGCCGGCGCCGGACGCTCGCGTACGGTTTCGCATCCGCCACGGGGACAAGGACAAATTCTTCAAGGCGGAGGAACGAACCGTTGGTGACTTCTGTTTTTTATCAATAAGAACGCGCGCCGGCCATGCAGACGTGTTGAACCGCGAGCGCCGCGACTTATATCGACTCGACGTGCGCGCTACCGCGCAGCTAGCTAACGGACGCCAGCTCGAAGCTGACACAGTACTGGTCGTGTCCATCGCCGACGAGAACGACCTGAGCCCATTGTTTTATCCCACCGAATATGAAGCTGTGGTGCCAGAAGATGCCCCTTTACACTCCAGCATTGCTCGTGTTACTGCCGAGGATGCTGACCTCGGCCTTAACGGAGAGATCTACTACAGCTTAGCGGAACCTACAGATCGCTTCGCTATTCATCCGACCACTGGCGTCATCACCATCACTCGGCCCTTATCAGCAACCGAAAGCACACGTCATACATTTGCTGTCTTAGCTCGCGATCGTGCGTCACTGCTAGCACGAGGCGAGGAAGCCCCGGCCGCCCGCGCCACGGTCTCAGTACGAGTGAAACGCGTCAATCTCCATGCGCCAGTGCTTCATGTGAGACGTATGCCTGAACTTGTAGAAAATTCCACTGCTGAAATCTATGCAATCATAGCAGTGACAGACGAAGACGATGGAGAACACGGGCGCATAGCCAGCCTTGAAATTGTGGACGGGGATCCCGACGGACACTTCCGCGTACGACCGTCGGCGCAGGCCGGCGAGTACGACGTGTTGGTGCACGCGCTGCTGGACCGCGAGAGCGCGCCGGCCGGCTACAACCTCACGCTGCGCGCGCAGGACGCGGGCCGCCCACCGCGCGCCTCGTACCTCACGCTGCCGGTGACGCTGGTCGACGCCAACGACAACGCGCCCGTATTCAGCCGAGAGGTGTATGAGGCGAGTATTCCGGAAACCGTGCCGCCGAACACCCCCGTCATCAGGCTCAAAGTGAGCGATCGCGATGAAGGAAGAAATGCTAGAGTTTATATTGAAGTTGTTGGTGGAAACGAAGGCGAAGAATTCTATGTTAATCCGGACACGGGTGTATTATACACCGCCGTATCGCTCGATGCTGAAGACAAAGCCCTTTACACTTTGACAGTGTCAGCTATAGACCAAGGAAACGCCGGTACGCGTAAACAGTCTTCAGCCAAAGTTAAGATAACGATACTCGACTCGAACGACAACGATCCTATTTTCGAAAGAGAAGTGACCGAGGTAACTGTCCAAGAGAACGGACCTAGCGGCGCCGTAGTCGCTCGGGTTGTCGCTCGGGACGCCGATTCTGGAGATAACGCATATATTTCCTACAGCATTGCCAATTTGCAACCAGTACCATTCGACGTCGATCACTTCTCGGGCGCTGTGCGCACAACGCGTTTGTTAGATTATGAAAGTATGCGCCGCGAGTACACCCTGCGAATACGAGCTAGTGACTGGGGAGTACCGTATCGCAGACAAGCCGAAATGCGACTCGTAGTGCGCCTCGAAGACGTCAACGACAACCGGCCGCAGTTCGAGCGCGTGGACTGTGTAGGCTACCTACCACGGAAACTCATCATCGGCTCTGAAATCGTCACACTTTCTGCGATCGACTTTGATGCGGGAGACGTAGTATCCTACCGCATCATTGGTGGCAACGAGGACAATTGTTTCGCTCTCGATGCAGGCACTGGTGTTATGAGTCTCTCCTGTGACTTAAGCGACGTACGCGCGGATTCTAGGCTTCTCAACGTCACGGCAACTGATGGTACACATTTTGCTGACGCCACAGCACTGACACTTCACCTGGTAAGCAGCGGAGGCAGTGGCTCAGAGCTAAGCTCTTTGGAATGCCGCGACACGGGCGTGGCTCGTCGCCTCACCGAGCTGCTAGCGGCAGCCGAACGTAGTAATGCACCGCAAGACCTCTCTGACGAATTTTCTTTAGCACCTTCTCGATACGGAGAGAACCTCCATGCTCCGGAATTCCTTGATTTTCCAGTTGAAGTAAAAGTAAATGAGTCAGTTGCACTCGGCACATCTCTAGTAAAGCTACGCGCGCGTGACCGTGACTTAGGCTACAACGGACTACTGGTGTATGGTATTTCCGGAGGCGACGCCGACTCAGCGTTTCGTATCGATCCGGACTCTGGGGAACTCCAAGTCATCGGGTATTTGGATCGCGAACGGGAGAGTGAATATTATCTAAACATTACAGTATACGATCTGGGGACACCTCAGCATTCGGTATCCCGTCTATTGCCCGTCACTATTCTGGACGTCAACGATAACACTCCACGCTTCGAAAAGACTTTGGCAAGCTTTCGGGTAACCGAGAACGCGTTGAACGGTACAGCCATATTCCGCGCGAACGCCACCGACCGCGACGCCGGCGACTTCGCGCGCATCACGTACAGCGTGAGCGGCGCGGACGACGGCGAGTTCTGCGTGGAGCGCGACAGCGGCGTGCTGCGCGTGTGCGCGGCGCTGGACCGCGAGCGGCGCGCGCTGTACGAGCTGTCGCTGCGCGCCGCGGACGGCGGCGGCCTGCACGCCGAGGCGCTGGTGCGCGTGGCGGTGGACGACGTCAACGACAACGCGCCTCGCTTCGCGCTGGCCACGTACGGAGCGCGCGCGCGCGAGGACGTACCCGTGGGCACGCTGGTGGCCGTCGTGGAAGCGTTCGACCCCGACTTGGGCGCGGGCGGCACCGTGACTTACTCCTTGCCCGACCAAGCTGCCGACGATGTAGTTTTCACCATCGACACTACTTCGGGCACCTTACGCACCGCTAAATTATTAGACTTCGAAGAAAGACAGGTCAGTTAGTCTCCTACTTCATTTACAATTTAATGCGTAACCTAGCATTGCGTCCTTTTTACTAGTTGAGTTACTACCTCTACTATGTTATGACTATGAGTCCCATGTAATAGGGGGTGAGCCTGTGTGTAATAGGGAGTAAACATGCTAATCTCCGGAACTTTTGGTACGAGTTGAATATTAAGTTTTGTTTTGGAAAAGTAGTTCATTTATCGAGGAAGGCTATTGTGTGTTTGGCGTATGGACCGACACAATTGTTGCAGGGATTTGGTAGGTCATTAGCTACCTTTTACCCAAAAGCCTTCGTCCTAAATGTAACGGTTGGTCAGATTTGAGCGTTTCTTTAAAAAACAATCCTTAAAAAGTATTTATTCGAGCTAAGCTTTTTGTTTGTGAGTCTAGTGGTCCAGAATAAATTTTGTTGTATATTCCAAAATCTAATTAATCTAAATACATCTTTGTTTGATACAAATAGATGCAAAACAAATTCTTACAAGCTTTCAAAGATGAATAAAATTTTTCATACACACATCTAACATTTTTCAACTTTTAAATTAATTATAAAAAAAAACCTACTAAAAGCCTTTTTGAACCCTTTAGTTCCCTTTAGAACCCTTTAGTTCCCTTTCTAACAGTATCCACCAAGTCCCAGAAATTATTCATTATGTTGTAAAAATAAGGGTTTTGCCTTTGCCACACTATAAATAAAAAATCTTTTACTAAATTATTACAATACTGTCTTGATACATACAGACTTGGATTTCCATAAAACATCAACAATCAATGAATTACAAAAAAGGCACTGTTTTTAGCTGTTCTTAATCAGATGTACATAAAAAATAGGTAAATGGATAAAGTGACCGTGATAGGTATGATTCCCTTCCTATAAAAAAATAGTGCTGAGTATGTACTATTAACATAGGAAGTAAACAGAATACCGTGCCTGAAATAACAAAAACAACATTTGAAGCATTTCTTTCCAGTCCAGTTAATATTATACTTCTCTTTACATTACTCACGAGGAACATTAATTAATTGTTTTCCGGTTTTCTAAAGATGTATGTGTAAATGTAACGCTCCTGACAAACGCCGACAGGTGATCGTGAGGCCACTCACAACACATTAGCGTCCAAATAGCTCGGTACATTATGTACTAACTCTTTAAAGCACAGGAAACGGAAAGGTACTTGCGTAGATAGTGATATCAAAGGGGTGATAATTATCCTTTATATACATACTAGCTTTTACCCGCGGCTTTGCTCGCGTCACAAAAGGATAAATAGCCTTTCAGATTTATAATATTAGTAAGGATAACATCACTCCACGATCTATAGGAACCGAGCTATGTAACAAAAACAGTATACACATAGGCTACTGTACTCTTAATCTCCTTCTAACTCTCTACTCCACTAAAGTAGGGGTGGGGGTGGAAGTTTGTATGGAGCATTTCGCAATTTTCAAGGTAGAAGGTTAAAAATTGGTATGCAGGCTATTGGTGAGACTACAACAAAAGATTGTGCATTTTTTAAATTCTGCTCTAACCATTAAACCTCTGGTGAATCGGAGCGTAGATCTACGCGACACACAATCTTTTCTATTGTGTGTGTGTGTGTGTGTGTCATATATCGACAGACAACAGTTTAAGAGGGTGGTAGGTAATTTTAGTGTTTTAGTTTTATTGTGTGTATATTGATTAATAATAATACTGACTGCCTCACTGGCCGAATGGTCGGAAGTGCGACCGCCGGGCAAGGGGTCTCGAGTTCGATTCCTGCGTCGGGCAAAGTACAACTGGGTTTTAAAAAAAAATCTCAATAGTAGCGTGGAGTCTGGAATTGTGCCCGGTATATGGCAATAGGCTCACCCCCTATTACATGGGACTATAACATAAATAGTGAAAAGTGGGTGTTACATTGTACATTGGCATTAAGTGTCGTAAAGTGCACCTCTAACTTTCTAATCTAACCCTTCAGGGATAAAAAGGCGTCATGTTATGTTAATAATACTGTTTGTTATCCTATAGGTGTACGGAGTGACAGTGCGTGCCACGGACGGTGGCCAACCGGCGCTGTGGTCTGAGGCGACAGTCATCGTCGAGGTAAGCCGGCGTCACCCGTCACCCGCCCCCCAGCGAGCTGAGCGGGGAGTGACGAGTGACGCGCGAGTGGTGCGCAGGTGGTGGACGTGGACGAGAACGCGCACGCGCCGCAGTTCAGCGACCACGCCGTGCTGGCCGGCAGCGTGCGCGAGGACGCCGAGCGCGCCACCGTCGTGCTCACGGCCGCCGCCAGCGACGCCGACCCGCCCGGCCGCGACTCGCGCCTGGCCTACTACATCGTGGCCGGCTCTGGCATGGCGCACTTCTCCGTCGACGACGCCGGTACTGCTGCGCACGCTAGCTTACACCGCGACCCATGTCCGTGTTCCCTTACGTACCTCCTAATTTTTATGTATGACCGCAGGCGTCATTCGCACGTTGACTCCATTGGACCGGGAGTCCGTGCCTCACTACTGGCTGACTCTGTGCGCCCAAGACCACGGGCTGGTCCCGCGACACTCGTGCGTACAGGTGAGTGCAGACTGCAGGCCGGCGAGCCTCGCTGGGCCGCGCCGCTGACCGAGTCCCTGTCGCCAGGTGTACATCGAGGTGGAGGACGTCAACGACATGGTGCCGTGGCCGGAGCAGGCCGCGTACTGGGCCGCGGTGGCCGAGCACTGCCCGGCCGGCACGCGCGTGGCCACGGTGCGCGCCACGGACGCGGACGCCGCGCCCACCCCCGCCAACATCACCTACTCAATCGTCGCCGGCAACCCCGATGGATTATTTTCAATAGACGAACATACCGGTTCGTGAACTCCACATTTACATATTATTTACATATTTACTAGTCATGACTATCTATCCACGACTATTCTCGTGGGGGATTCTATCTGTTATTAATACTAATATTTTGAATCACCTTTCGAAAAAGTATATTTATATTCCGTAGTCTGAATGCTATTTTAAATTTTATGGGAATATTTTCATTGTAGCTGGTATCATTTTTGCACCTTGTATAAACCACGAGCCGTATGCAAGAAGTTTTGTGATGCCTACGTTTCTAGACAGTACATAATCAACGTCAAAATAGGAACTATTATTTATTGAGTACGTACCTACAAACAAACACCCACTGCCAACTGCCCAACCCAATCATTGTGTTTCCTCCTTTTTGAAGTCGGTAATAATTGTTTTTCAAACCTATCTAAGTACTCATGTGGTACCTACATAATAAATTCAGTCTTGGAGTCTGTACCCGCCGCGACGTGCTTCAATACTCTTGAAGTCGGTTTTTTTAGTAACGCTTTTTATATCACAGACAAAATGTTGAATTCTATGTTGAAGTGTGTAACATGGGTGATGTAAGACGTAGCTCGTGAAGTGTGTAATAATGCGTGGCAGGGGAGGTCGTGACGACGGGGCGCACGCTGGACCGCGAGGCGGGCGCCGGCCACGCGCTCGAGGTGCAGGCCTCCGACGGCGCGCTCGCCAGCACCGCGCGCCTCGTCGTGCGTCTACTCGACGTCAACGACCACGCGCCGGCCTTCGCGCAGCGCTTCTACGACATCCGCGTGCCCGCGCCGCTCGCGCCGCCCGCGCCGTCCGCGCCGCGCGCCGACGCTCTGCCGCAGGTACGCCGTTACTCGATATTATGTTCGGCAATACATTAACGCATGCGACCCGTTAGAGGTCTGTGTGGTGTGCAGTGATTAAAATGTATTAACTTGGTTTTCTGCCCCGACGAAGATTCTGTACAAGAGCGAGATTTTGTTAACGTAACCTTGTGTGTGGCGTGGTAGCGTGCATCGATGTGCTATGACTTGCAGGGTGACGAGGCCGACGGTGACGAAGCGTTACCCGTCGCCGACGAAAGCAGTACCGAGTGGGAGGCCGAAGACGACGAAGAAGGTTCAGGAGTGCGCGCGCCCTGGGACTTTTACGACGACCCCGTACCCGTCGGCCACTACGTCGCCACGGTGAGGCACGACTTGCATGGCACGCATGGCGCCCGCGGCGGCCGCGACCGCGCGCTCACGTCCGCTCGTCCCCAGGTGGTGGCCTTCGACTCCGACGAGGGCGCCAACGGCACGGTGCGCTACTGGGCGCGGGCGCGCGGCGCGGCGCGCGGCCTCCTGCGCGTTCACGCCGCCAGCGGCCGCCTGCTGCTGGCGCCGCGCCTGGCGCTGGCGCCCGGCGACTCGTACGACGTCACGCTGCGCGCGTGCGACGCCGCGGCGCGCCCGCGCTGCAGCGTGGCGCGCGCCGTGCTGCGCGGCGTGGCGCGGGCGGGGGCGCGGCGCCCCGGCTGGCGCCCCCGGCGCCGCTGCAGGTGGCGGAGCTGGACGCGCCCGGCTTCCTGCTGGCCGTGCTGCAAGCCACGGATCCCGACGGCGATGCCTTATATTACAGCATCATAGGTAATCGTCCTTTACTGGATGTGGGAGGTCAACATTTACCAATAAATTCTTCGTCCTAAATGTCACAGGCAAATCATATGTGACCAACAAATGATTTTTTATTGAAATGACAAATTTACCCAGAATGTTCTCTTTAACTCAAAATAAGTTGTTTGTGGGTTTGGTGGTCCAAAATAATTTTTTTTGTACAAGTTGAAGTTAAATATTTCAGACAAGTGAATGAAAATTAAACTTTGGAAGCTTGTAAGATTTTTTTAAAGCAATTTGTAACTAATATAATATAAATGATAGTAAAACGCAGCTATTGACCTACCGAATCGGGAATTTAAGAATTGTGGAGGATTCTTTAATTTGGGAGACTAGGGAGGGGGGTAATTGGGCCTCCGGTAACCTCTTGTGATTAATGATTCACAAATTGTGTGATTTTACAAAGAAACTTTAATTATTTATTTATTTATTTATTTATTACACCCTGGAGAACTTACAGCTAAAACTACATAAAAATAGAAGTGAACATAAACTACTGAAAGCCAATTACAAGTCCTCACGTATAGTGACAGACTTAAATTTGATAGGTGAGCATATCACAATTTTCGCAGTGGTTACAGCTTATTAAAATTGTACAGTTTATTATACCAGTTAATTGCAAGGATCAACTAGAAACTAGTATTAACTAGAAACTTTTAGTTACAAGAATAAGTGAAAGATAAAAATAATATAAACATTTCCGAAAACTAGGGATACAATTGAGATGCTACTTAAAAAACCTGAGGCTTATGCGCCTTCTGGCCGACGCCACGCTAGTCGCAAAGGGATCAAAGTCATACTGCTTACATATATTATTGAACTGTCTACCCGCTCGTATAATAAAACTATTCTGTCTGTAATTTGTTGATGCTAGAGGCACACGTAAGGGTGGGTTATTGCGGAATATTTTTTGTGGTACATTAAAGTGAAATTTAGATAGAAGTTCTGGGATGTCAATATTGTTATTTAAGATAGATTTATTAGTTTATTGACATTGTCAGATGGCGATCCGCGACAAGAATTTTATATCGGCAGAGAAGATGGAAGTCTAGTGTTGGCGCGACGTCTGCTCTGGGAGCGCCAGCCACAGTACTGTCTCAACGTGTCCGTCACCGACGGCCACCACGTCGTCTACGCTCCGGTAACTAACGCCGTCTCTGTCCACGGCGCGTGGAGCCTTCCACTAGTCTGATCCGTCCGTGCGACGTCGCAGGTCAACATCACCGTCATCAACGACGCTAACGAAGGGGGCGTGGCGTTCACACAAGACGAGTACATCGTGGAGACTTCGGAAGCGACCCGCGTGGGCGAGGCGCTCGTAGCCCTGCGCGCCACCGGCGCCGGCCGCCTCTTGTACGGCGTGCACGCCGCGCGCGCGCCCGCCTCCGCGCGACTGTTCCGCCTGCACGAGCTCAGCGGCGTGCTCGAGCTCGCGCACGCGCTCGACAGGTACGCGCGGCACCCAGCGAGACACGCCACCCTTCGCATGTCGTACTAAAGTGTCGGCGCTCGGCAGGGAGAGCGCGGCCGTGCACGAGCTGACGGTGTGGGCGCGCGACCAGGCGCCGCGCGCCGCGCGGGCCTACGCGCGCGTCATCGTGCGCGTGCACGACGCGGACGAGCACGCGCCCGAGTGGGGCCGGCGCCTGGCCGAGAGCGCGCCTGCCGCGCGGGGCGCCGGCCGGCGCGCTGGTGGCCGCGCTGCGCGCCGCCGACCGCGACGCGGGCGACGCGGCGCGCGTGGTGTACTCGCTGGCGGCGGGGACGCGGGCGGCACGTTCACGGTGGACGCGGCGCTGGGCGACGTGCGGCTGGCGCGCGCGCTGCCGGCGGCGGGCCCGCGCGACTACACGCTGGCGGTGCGCGCGGCCAACCCGGCGCCGGGCGCGCGCTGGGCGACGCTGCCGCTGCACGTGGTGGTGGTGGAGGCGGCGGACGCGGCGCCGCGCTTCGTGGCGGCGGACGTGTCGTGCGAGGTGTTCGAGAACGAGCCGGCGGGCGCGGCGCTGGCGGCGCTGGAGGTGCGCAGCGCGAGCGCGCCGTGGTTCTCGCTGGAGGGCGGCGAGGGTCTGTTCCGCCTCAACCCGGCCGCCGGGTTGCTGGCCACGGCCGCGCCGCTCGACTACGAGACCCAGAACTTTTACAACTTGACGGTGACGGCGATAAACATGGTGATTTGACATTAATATATTCTATACGATCGATAATGACTTCACTTTGCTGCTTCCAAACGTATTTGCTTGTACCGCAATTGTATTTATTAATGAACTTATTTGTTTGAGTATCACAGCCAGATCTACCACATCTACTTATAATAATTTCTGTACCGTATCGGTTGCGCCACTAATATTGCTATGCAAAAGTGTTTTGATTTTGGAAGTCCACTTCTGTGGTTGATCGTACATACGTCCATGGAGGTACGTTCAATACAAAGCCACACTATATACCAATATTTGTATTTGAATATTCCTATTAACAAAAAATCGGTATCAATTATAAAAGTAAAAGTAAATTGTTACGTAAAATTAAATTGTTTTTAACAAGTTTAGGAAACAAAAAAGCAGCCGAGGTGATCGTGTCTGGCTGGCTACTCAACAGTTGTACGATAAGATTTTCCATGAATGTTAAATCGCGTGTAAACTTTGCAAGTGCGATGTAAGAGTTAGTGACGTCATCTCTTAATTATTTTATTCGTCGGTGGTCTATGTGCGTGGCACACGTGTATCAGAATACACAAACTGTTCAAAGTCCAAAGCTCAAAGCAAAGTTCATTGCTACCCACGTCTGGTACTGGGCACTAACGCCTTGGTCCGCAGGGCGGCGGGCGGGCCGTGGCGCGCGTGGGCGTGCACGTGCTGGACCGCAACGAGTTCCCGCCCGCGCTGCGGCGCGCGCAGTACCGCGGCCGCGTGGCCGAGGACGCGGCGCCCGGCGCGCTCGTGGCCGACGCCGACGCCGGCGCCGCGCCGCTCGTGCTGCTCACGGACGACGCCGACTCGCCCGCCAACCGCCAGCGCGCCTACGAGATCCTGCAGCCGGCCGCCGCCGCGCAGTTCCGCGTCGACCCCACCACCGGCGCGCTGCATCTGCTGGCGCGCCTCGACTACGAGCGCGCGCAGAGGCACGAGTTCAGCGTCAGGGTATGTTTCGGCGTAACGTAACTTAGTTTGCCACGGTAACGAACGTAACGCAATAATCTACGATGATCGTGCTCGCTCGCAGGTTATTGACATGGGAACTCCGAGGCTTCCGTCCGGGAGCGTCGCAAAAGTGGTCGTGGAAGTGACGGACGTGAACGACTGCCCGCCCGAGTTCTCGCAGGCGGAGTACTCGGCCACGGTGCTGCTGCCCACGTCGGACGGCGTGGCGGTGGCCAGGCTGGCGGCGCACGACCCCGACCTGGCGCCCGGCGCGCGGCTGAAGTACGACATCATCGAGGGCGACCCGGACGCGGCCTTCGCGCTGTCGGACGCGGGCGAGCTGCGCGTGGCGCGCGCGGCGGCGCTGCAGTCGGCGCGGCGCCTGCGCGTGCGCGCGTCGGACGGGCTGTACTCGGCCACGGCGCGCGTCGACGTGCGCGTGGCCGAGGCCGACAACTCGGGCCTGGCGTTCCAGAAGGCCGACTACTACGGCTCCGTGGTGGAGAACTCCACCAAGCCGACCACGGTGGCCGTGCTCAACGTGCTCGGGGCGGCGCTCAACGAACATATCGAATTCCGGATATTGAACCCGGTCGACGGATTTGAGGTCGGTCTTGTTCATCATTATCTCGACTAAGGTTATAAATTGATCGAATGGCTCTCTTCTGCAGAACAAAGATAGACTGAATATCAGCATCATTCCTCCATAGGAGAATACCATATAACATGACACTGAAAATAACTAAAGTATACTAGTCGCGCTATATTAGATATATAGCAGTAAAAAACACAAATTTAACCGATGTAGCATCGGTTAAATTTGTGTTTTTTAACGGCATATGCTGCAGAACTAAGCCTTTTCGATAACTTATCTATAGTGGAGCCCACTGGCGCTTAGCGTCTAGGGTTATATATTGTACCTAAAAAGACAGTAGAATCTATAGGGTTCAACTCCTCACACTTAATTTGCACGCTGGTTTTCACATGTCTAACACTTGGTGTTGTAAATTTAATGCATTTAGTTTTAGTTCCATTTAGTATCTGCAGAATCATTATTATTATTTTAAACTTCGAAATTTAATTCGTTTCTCTATAAATACTTATAACCCCAGTACTGAATCGATTCTGATGACATTAGTTGCAACTGTAGATACAGCTTGGGAAATACTAATTCAAAAGCCCAATTTCTGCCAGAAGACATTATTTTACGCGGTCGAAGTAACGGCTAACAGCTAGTATTAGTATAAGTCGAATCGGACGAGAGTACGAGCCGTGGCGTGGTACAGGTGGGCGCCACGTCGGGCGCTGTCCGCAGCACGGGCCGCGCGCTGGACCGCGAGCGCCGCGACTCCTACACGCTCCTGCTGGAGGCCCGCTCCGCGTCGCCCGCGCAGCGCGTGGCGCGCGCCCGGCTCCACGTCGCCGTCACCGACGTCAACGACAACTGCCCCGTGTTCGTGGAGCGGCCCTACGCCGCCGCCGTGCTGGCCGGCGCGCCGCCCGGCACGGCCGTGCTGCGCGTGCGCGCCGTGGACCTGGACGCCAACGACAACGGCGAGGTGCGCTACGAGATGAAGCGCGGCCACGGCGAGCTGTTCCGCGTCGACCGCCGCAGCGGACAGATCTCGCTCAAGCAGACGCTGGACGCGCACAGCCAGCTGTACTGGCTCGACATCGCGGCCCTTCGACGGCGGCGTGCCGGCCTGCGGCGCCGAGGCGCGCGTGGCCGTGCGCGTGTGGGCGGGCGGCGCGGCGCCGCGCTGGCCGCGCGCGCAGTACGCGCTGGCGGCGCGCGAGGACGTGGCGCCCGGGGCGCCGCTGGGCGCCGCGCTGCAGGCCACGTCCCCGCTGGGGCGCCAGCTCATCTACACGCTGCACGAGGACGCCGCCGGCCTCTTCGAGATCCACTTCGACACAGGTCATTGCACGCGCTGAGGACTTCTAATCATTACTGGTTTTATGCACGGGATCTTACTAACTGATTTACAAATATTTGCATGAAGGGAAATTATACTGACGATGGGTAAAAAATTATTAAAGTAGCCTATATCAGCAACTCGTATTGTGAAAATAAATTCTCAGAACAATGACCAACGTTAAACCCTATTACACTATAGTCCATCTGTTTAGGTAATTAACTAAAGGTAAACAAAGAAAACCACGTGACACAGAGATACTTAACCTACTATTACTTCAAATATTTCTCGTGTTTTAATTTTAACCAAATTCACTTTAAACTCGTTCATTTGTCATACACACAACACAACTACAAATGCCTAAATCGTACAAGAGCCTTGCCTATGGGTCTATTTCATTATCATGTTTAAATAGAAACTATTCTGAATCTGATGTACGGATTTCTTTCTTGTACGGATATGTGTCTTTGAGCCAAGTTTCTTCAAAATATTTGAACACATTAATTACAAACGATGAATAACCTAAACTTGAATAACTTAATAACGAAAACAAAACAAAGAAACAAGATAAATTCAACAAAATAGGAACGCGAGCGCAAACGACGAGAGAGCTGTCAATGGCGCCTGATTAACCGACTAAACGTAATACACGCTACTTTCATTGTCGCGCTACATCTTAGTTGTACTCTTTAATATGACAACATTATTTTGCTTCGTTCTTAAAGAAAAGTTTTGGATACCTGGGATTTTAGGCTCTTTATGGTGTCTATTGTAATGAAATATTATATTATTTAATAAATGTTATTAAATTAATATCCTCAAGCAGATATATATAATATTTACTAAGAAATAAGTGAAAAGGAACAGAAACATAACATTTAATAGAGAAAACTGTCGTAAAAACGGAAACAATTTTATTTTCTTATGAAGTATTTTGAATCATGGAAATGTCAACTATAAAGAACTCTTTTTATGGTTTGTTTACAAATAGTTAACTACCTAAACAGACGGAGTATAGGTTCTTGTTAAAGTTGTTGTAATGTGTTATTGTAGTCGGCTCACTTATTAATTCATACAAGATTGTTTTAATGATTTCTTTAGAGTAGGACTCGAAATTTAGGAGCATAAATCTTACTAGAACCTTTAAATCAAGCTTTTTGTGGGGAACTCAAATGTCTATCTGTCCACACGGTCGAAGTAAGTCACGTTTATCTGTGTTCTCAGTAGAAATTCCCCTCTCTGAGAATAGAAAAGTGCGCGGTGGTGGCGAACTGACTGCGTTACTAACATTTTGTTTTATCCGCAGCCCCCGACAGAAGCAATGGTCCATGTGAGTATATCTCCCCGCATGTCCGCTTCCAGTCGGTGTCGCCATCATGTCCTCGTCTCTGTACTTCGTCCCAGTCAGCTTATCATCCACATGTTTCGCCGTAACTGCATTAGGGAACGTGATGACTAGTGACGTGTTTCTGTTTCTGCATGAATTAACGAATATCATTATTAACATGCTTCCATCTACACTGTACTTACACGTCACCGCAAATACATTGCAACACGCATCTTTTACAAACGTATTTTACATCTAGAGGGTGCTTTCAATTTAAAAACTAACCGATTAGGTCCGGCCAGGCTTAGCTGGCTAATCATTCGTGTATTTGTGAATATTGAAATTACAAAAACGATACTTTTCTATTTTGTTTAATATTGTAGGAATAAATAACTTAATGTCGTCAAGATTGTAAATAAATTAAATTATAACAATCTTCTTGCGTCGAAATAATGGAATACTTCCTAGGGCAAGTTTTCAAATTACTACAACAATATAGTTCCCTACTAAATATTCCACTCCTTTCATTTTCTGCAGTGCCCTTCATAGTTCAGTAATTTAGATTGTCAAACATCTACCGATACCGACATATTCAGATTGTCAAACATCTACCGATACCGACATATCCAGATTGTCAAACGTATCTACAGATACCGACATATCCAGATTATCAAACATCTACCTAAACCGACATATCCAGATTGTCAAACGTATCTACAGATACCGACATATTCAGATTATCAAACATCTACCGATACCGACATATCCAGATTGTCAAACGTATCTACAGATACCGACATATTCAGATTATCAAACATCTACCGATACCGACATATCCAGATTGTCAAACGTATCTACAGATACCGACATATCCAGATTATCAAACATCTACCTAAACCGACATATCCAGATTGTCAAACGTATCTACAGATACCGTCATATTCAGATTGTCAAACATCTACCGATACCGACATATCCAGATTGTCAAACGTATCTACAGATACCGACATATCCAGATTATCAAACATCTACCTAAACCGACATATCCAGATTGTCAAACGTATCTACAGATACCGTCATATTCAGATTATCAAACATCTACCGATACCGACATATCCAGATTGTCAAACGTATCTACAGATACCGACATATCCAGATTGTCAAACGTATCTACAGATACCGACATATTCAGATTATCAAACATCTACCGATACCGACATATCCAGATTGTCAAACGTATCTACAGATACCGACATATTCAGATTGTCAAACGTATCTACAGATACCGACATATCCAGATTGTCAAACGTATCTACATACCGACATATCCAGATTGTCAAACGTATCTACAGATACCGACATATTCAGATTATCAAACATCTACCGATACCGACATATCCAGATTGTCAAACGTATCTACAGATACCGACATATCCAGATTGTCAAACGTATCTACAGATACCGACATATCCAGATTGTCAAACGTATCTACAGATACCGACATATCCAGATTGTCAAACGTATCTACAGATACCGACATATTCAGATTGTCAAACGTATCTACAGATACCGACATATCCAGATTGTCAAACGTATCTACAGATACCGACATATCCAGATTGTCAAACGTATCTACCGATACCGACATATTCAGATTATCAAACATCTACCGATACCGACATATCCAGATTGTCAAACGTATCTACAGATACCGACATATTCAGATTATCAAACATCTACCGATACCGACATATCCAGATTGTCAAACGTATCTACAGATACCGACATATCCAGATTATCAAACATCTACCTAAACCGACATATCCAGATTGTCAAACGTATCTACAGATACCGACATATTCAGATTATCAAACATCTACCGATACCGACATATCCAGATTGTCAAACGTATCTACAGATACCGACATATTCAGATTGTCAAACATCTACCTATACCGACATATCCAGATTGTCAAACGTATCTACAGATACCGACATATCCAGATTATCAAACATCTACCGATACCGACATATTCAGATTGTCAAACATCTACCGATACCGACATATCCAGATTGTCAAACGTATCTACAGATACCGACATATTCAGATTGTCAAACATCTACCGATACCGTCATATTCAGATTATCAAACATCTACCGATACCGACATATCCAGATTGTCAAACGTATCTACAGATACCGACATATTCAGATTATCAAACATCTACCGATACCGACATATCCAGATTGTCAAACGTATCTACAGATACCGACATATCCAGATTATCAAACATCTACAGATACCGACATATCCAGATTGTCAAACGTATCTACAGATACCGACATATCCAGATTATCAAACATCTACAGATACCGACATATCCAGATTGTCAAACGTATCTACAGATACCGACATATCCAGATTATCAAACATCTACAGATACCGACATATCCAGATTGTCAAACGTATCTACAGATACCGACATTCAGACTGTCAAATGCATCTACAGATACCGACATATTCAGATTGTTAAACGTATGTACAGATACCGATATATTCAGATTGTCAAATGTATTTACAAATACCGACATATTCAGATTGTCAAATGTATCTACAGATAGGTACCGACATATTCAGATTGTCAAATGTATCTACAGATAGGTACCGACATATTCAGATTGTCAAATGTATTTACAGATACCGACATATTCAGACTGTCAAATGCATCTACAGATATCGACATATTCAGATTGTTAAAAGTATCTATAGATACCGATATATTCGGATAATCAAAAAATATTTTTACGTCAAACGAAATCTACGGATACCCATATAATTGGGAAGTCAAACCTACATTGACCTCAAAGAAAATAGACAGATACCCACATATTTAGTACCCACTTAGTTGTAAAAATGTCAGCAACAATGACACAAAAACAGTTAAAGTTAATTCGATTACAATCAAAACTGATGCAAGTCAATTTGTGGAGCATCAACATATGAAGTAGCAAGCACAAAGGCACCAGAACATTCTATGGGGAAATATCATACTTCAGCAATTTGTAAATTTCAACAAAAAGATGACAATGTGCCCAAACCATTAAATCCTATCAGACAAAGAGGGAGACAAATACATGACTTGTCTTTGCATACATATTTTTGAGCAACGTATCATACTAGGGCAATTTTTAATAATTAAATCATGTTTGTTAATAAATTGCATGGTAGACGTAGTGTGTATCAGCTTTGTATCTCTTGCACATATGAAGAAAATAGCGAACGTGTTCCGCCTCGGTTGCTAGTGGCCACTAATAAGACGCTGCGTGCGTGCAATGCGTGCAGCGCGTGCTGGTGGTGTAGCGTGCATGTTGCAGGCGTGCTGGCGGCGCGCGCGGCGCTGGACTACGAGACGGCGCGCAGCCACGAGCTCGTCGTGCGCGCCACGGACGGCGTCACTGGCGCCTTCGCCGACGCCGCGCTGTCGCTGCGCGTGCTCGACGTCAACGACTGCGCGCCGGAGTTCCCGCGCGACGTCTACCGCGCCACCGTGTCTGAGGCGGCGCCGCGCGGCGAGCTCGTGCTCACGCTGCACGCGCGCGACAACGACACCGGTACGTGCTCGCTCGGCGCGCCCGACCCGCTCGCGTGTTTTATATCATTTGATGCGTTCTTTTCTCGTCTAGGTGAAAACGGACAAGTGACATATTCACTATCCGAAATGGATACGGCCGCCGAGGGCGCCTTCACCATTGACGCCGCGACGGGCACGGTTCGGGTGGCGGCGCCGCTCGACCGAGAGACCAGAGCGCACTACCATCTGCTGGTGACGGCGACCGACGCCGGCCGGCCGCCGCTCGTCACCACCGCCCACCTGTTCATCTCCCGTGAGTCTCGGCCTCGGCGCGCTCGGCACAGGTAAGCCAGTGGACCGCGCGACTGACTGGCCGTGCTTGCAGTGGACGACGTCAACGACAGCCCGCCGAGCGTGGAGCGCGGCGTGGTGCCGGCGCTGGTGTCGGCCGAGGCGGCGCGCGGCACCGAGCTGGCGCGCGTGGCGGCCTGGGACCCGGACGAGCGCGACGCCACGCGCCTGCACTTCGCGCTGGAGGGCGCGGCGCCGCAGCGAGCCTTCGCCGTGGACGCGCGCACGGGCGTGGTGTCGCTGGCGGCGGGGAGCGGCTGGGCGGGCGGCGCGCTGCGCTCGCTGAACGTGTCGGTGTCGGACGGGGCGCACGCGGCCTTCGCGCGCGTGAAGCTGTCGCTGGCGCCGGCCAACCGCAGTCCGCCGCACTTCCCTCACGTCGTACACGAGGCGCGAGCGCTCGAGAATCAACCGCCGCCCCTACTTTTGACTACGGTACGTAAGCGACGAAAACATTACTAAATAATAAGTTCCTATGAAATTGCAATAGAAATAGTGCAAAAAATTTAGAGAAGTAGGGCACAGTAGGTATGTAAACCCCTCTCAAATTTGAAGCAACCCGGCTGGAGTAGGACCTCCGCCTTACATTAGACCACAGCCAAATAACACTAGTTCAACGGTGTTGTGTTCCTGCGGTAAGTAAGGTATTCAGAACTCAAGAGGATTTGTTGTGTTGATTACCGGGGCACCGGTGATGCAAGTTTTAGTGCCTCGTTGGCCGAGTGGAGAAACGACTTACATCTTGAGGTGGAAAGGAGTGTCAGACTCTTGCTGACTAAAAGCCACCCTGTTTCTTCTGCACTTCGAGCCGGGGCTCCGGTAACCCGTTAGGTTAGGTTAGTTCCGCGACTCCGAATCGGCATCAGCCCTGTTGGGCCCCATCCGTGGTGGTGTGATGGCTCCTTGAGGCCGTGGACCGTGATTACAGTCGGACTGGTCAAACTCGAGGTGGTGGAGTATTGATAGCGGTTCGTAAATGTATATCTGCAATACCGCAACCATTTTTCACTCCTCCGCTGAAGATCTATGGATAACTTTGACCTTGCGGCAACCCATCACTAAAATCGCTTTTAAATTGAACTTGTGTGTTATCTATCTGTGTAAGCAGAACCTGGGCCACTCATTCTCCGATCAGTTACAGAGTTTTCTCCGTTCCTTAAATAGTGCTATGTTGAATAATCCTATGGATAATTTTTTGATTGTGGGCGACTTTAATTTGAGCGGTATTTCATGGCAGTCTCAAAACGGTATTTATTTACCTAGTGATGTTACTAGCAGTGATGAGTGTATACTGACGGATGAATTGCAAATGTTAGCCCTCCAGCAATATAACGGGGTGTTAAATGACTTTGGAGGTATTCTGGATTTGGTCATGTGTAATGAGAATATCTCAGTTAGTAAATCCTTAACTCACTTGGTACCTATTGATAGATATCACCCTGCTTTATTAGTGACTATGCTGTTTGCTGAGTCTTCGCATCTAACTCCTGCTCCCTATACTCAGTACTATTATGAAAAAGGCGATTTTACTTCGATTAACCAAGATATATTGGCTATTGATTGGGAGAGGGTGTTCCTTAATATGACACTTGATGAGGCTATAAAATATTTTTATTCTGTTGTCGATGAATTGAAGGTCAAATATGTGCCATCGGGGAAGATTTCTCACAGTTCGTATCCGGTTTGGTACTCTCCGGAGCTCAAACACTTGATTAGGGAAAAATCTAAATACCTCCGTTAATTTAAAGTATATGGTCGACTGTCTGATAACGCCACGTTTAGGCTATTACGGGATAGGGTTAAAGGGCTAGAGGAGGCATGCTACAGAAACTATTTGATGACTACGGAATCAGGTATTGAGTTAAATCCTAAACGTTTTTGGAGTTTTGTAAAACATCGTTACAAAGCTAATGCTATGCCAAATAATTTTAAATATGGTGACTCGACTGTTTCCTCGCCCGAATCCATTTGTAATGCTTTTTTTGCTCATTTTCTCTCTACCTTTCTTGCCCCAGATGGGAACATGACCACCACGGATCTTGGCCAGCATCCGGCGGACGGCCATTCAAATGTGCTGACTGACATACACACGATTGAAGTTAATCTGGATTCCATTACCAAATTGATCAGTACACTTGACCCTTTTAAGTCGGCTGGCCCTGATCATTTATCACCTAAATTCCTTATTGCATGTGCAAAGACAATTGCTAAACCAGTTTCCCTACTATTTAAAAAATCACTCTCCGCTTGTGTTGTGCCTCATATTTGGAAATCAGCATTTATTACTCCGGTACATAAAAAGGGTCATAAGAATGAAATTATAAACTATAGACCAATTTCTAAACTATGCATATTGGCTAAAGTATTTGAGAGAGTGGTCTATGATCAAGTGTATGCAGCACTAAAATTGTCGTTCAGTTCATCCCAGCATGGGTTTCTTAGGGGAAGGTCTACGGTTTCGAATCTATTAGTTTTAAATGACTATTTGACGGAGAGAATGGACAATGGTGAGCAGGTCGATGTGATTTACACGGACTATAGCAAATGTTTTGATAGAATCGATCATTACATTCTAAAAATGAAACTACACTTGAATGGTATTAGAGGGGACCTTCATCGTTGGTTCTGCTCTTATTTGGAGAATAGGTCGCAGGCCGTAGTTGTCAGTAATTATGTTTCAAGCTGGGTTTCAATTCCCAGTGGGGTGCCCCAGGGATCCTTAATGGGGCCATTACTGTTTATAATATTCGTCAATGGCATAGACTCTTGTTTCCATAATTCTAAACTTCTTTGTTTTGCCGATGATATGAAGATATTCACCTCCATATCATCAACTAATGATATGCTGTCACTACAGTCTGACTTGGACCGTCTGACCGATTACTGTCAGTCCAACAGGTTAGATTTAAACCCCGCTAAATGCTCTGTCGTTACGTTTAGCAGGAAACGTGTTCCATTTCAGACTACCTATAGCTTAAAGGGCCAAATATTATCTAGTAGTCTTGGAGTGCGGGATCTGGGCGTTTACCATGACTCAAAACTTTTATTTAATACTCACATTGAGCAAATGGTGGCAAAAGCCTCTAAAGCACTGGGTTTTGTACAAAGGCTCGGGGGCTGTTTCAGAAAGGCCAAAACACTTAAGATCCTGTACTGCACATTCGTCAGAAGCCATCTTGAATATGCTTCCCAAATCTGGAACCCCTGCTATGACAAGTACATAGACCGCATTGAGAGCATCCAAAAAAGATTTATTCGCTTTCTTTGTTTTCGTCTGAAGATACCGTATCGATCGGAGAATTATATGGAACTATGCAAAAAATTTCATCTCCACCCACTTATAAATCGCCGTCGAATAGCGGATTGCACTTATTTTGCCAAGATACTGAATAGCGAAATCGATTGCTCAGACCTTTTGCATAAGCTGTCATTTAATGTTCCGAAAAAGTCGGATCGATTTAACCCACCAATTGCTGTCCCAACTTCTTCCTCAAATTATAGACAAAATTCCTATATTGTGCGAGTGAGTAGGGATTATAATAGATTGTGCAAGGATTTAGGACTTGATCCATTTACCACAAGCAGTTCCAGGGTGCGTAGGCGACTAAACCTAAAATTTTTTGAATGACTATCCATGTTTTATACTTTTATATGTGCATTGCATTCGCAAAACCTCTGTAAAGGTATACTATAGCTACGCGTGGAAACCTATAATTGGCTTTGTATTAGCATATTCTGAAGTTTTATTATTTGTTATATAGCTGTTGGTTACCCGAATTAAAATAAATAAATAAATTATTATAATGACACTGAATGATGTTAGAAAAATAATAAATATTTCCTCATATCGATATTTTTATTTCTTAGTCTCCGCACTATGCGAGTGATATTCGTAGGTGCGCTTCGTGGAATACCTCCGATGTCTCGCGTGGCCCCGTCCACTGACCTTCACGCTTTCTTGACCTTTTTTTGTTACGTACACACATTGTCACACACACACTGGCGAGTCTGTTTATTTTATTAACATTGCTGTCGCTTATTCTGAAATACTGTCGAACTTAAACGATTTATTATAGCCGTATTTTTAACTAGTGGCCCGAAATTTTTTCTTACTTTGAACCTTTATGACTTCTGTGCCATGCCCCCGAGAAGTGTCCCGGTTTCAAAACTACACCTTGTATATGAGCATGGTATGAACTAATTCAACGAAGTGAGTCGATTACTCCAATTGGCTATTTGACTGTTGAAAACATTATGTTGTTTTTCATTTTAAAATCTTTTAATAAAGTGCAACATATGTTTAGAAATTCAAAAGTGTCAAATACCCACCCTATAGGACATGTCTTTTAATAATTTATTTATTTATTTATTTATTTATTTATTTATTGAATGGTGAATCAACAGCTACATTACATACATTTAGCAGAAGAATAGTAACATTGAGCCACTTATAGATTCACACGAATACTGACTTAATAGGTAACAGCTAGGACAAAATAAAAATTATAAATACACCAAAAACAGGCACACAGCAAGAAAATTATTTAAATATAGAAACAAAAGAAAGGTGAATACATATTTAAAATAAAACAATAATAAAAAAAAACAAAAATCAGTTATTAAAAAAGTCTACTAAGTAATAATACGTAATAAAAGTGTGTAAAACTTAGAGTCATTAATTTCGTAGGTAAAAGCGTATGACGACGATCCCGGAGAATACGGCACTGTGACTTATTCCATCCCGTCGGCTCGCCTGCGCGAGACGTTCGCAATAGACGCCAGCAGCGGCGCGCTGAGCACGCGCGTGGCGCTCGACCGCGAGGCGCGCGCCGACTGGGACGTGCCCGTCACCGCCAGCGACGGCGGCGGGCTCGTGCGCCACACCGTGGTGCGCGTGCGCGTGGCCGACCTCAACGACAACGCGCCCGAGTTCCCGCTGCGCGAGTACCGCGCCGCCGTGCGCTGCGACCGCGCGCCGCGCCTGCCCTTCCTCACGCTGGCGGCGCGCGACGCCGACGCGGGCGAGCACGCGCGCCTGCACTACTCCGTGTACGAGGGCGACGCGCGCGCCGACACCGCCGGCCTCTTCGCGGTCGACGCGCACACCGGCGCGCTGTCCTTCGCGCGCGACGCCACGCCCTTCGGTGAGGCCCTTCGACTGCGATACTGCGCCGCATTGTTCTCGCGCGACTTCAATAATGACCCTTTGACTTCGCAGCGTCTCGCAGCGTGCAGGTGTGGGTGCGCGCGCGCGACGGAGGTGGGCTGGCAGGCGAGGCGCCAGTGTCCGTGTTCGTGCTGGGCGCCAACGACGAGGCGCCCCGCGTGCTGGCGCCCCCGGCCGACCTGTTCCTGCGCGAGGACGCGGCGCCCGGCACGCTGGTGGCGGAGCTGCGAGCGCCCGAGCCTGGCGCCCCGCCGCCGCGCTACCGGCTGGCGCCCGCGCTGTGGGCGCGGGACCTGTTCGCCATCGACGAGTCCGGCCGCCTGGTGCTGGCCGGCCAGCTGGACCGGGAGACCGCGGCGGAACATATCATAGGTATGCTACTTGTTTACTAACGATTCTGGGTTATACTCTTTTGTCGCGATAAGCTTTGTCTTATTTCTTCAAATATTATACAAATATTTATGACTAGTTGTTCCCCGCGACTTCATCCGCGTATATTAGTGGCTCTGGCAGATTTTTTTATGTTATTAAAAATAATTCAAATGATATTTGTTACACAGAATTAGTTAATTCCAATGCCGTGTAACTAATTTTATCAGAATCGATTCAGTACCTGAGTTAGTTTATTGCGAAATTAATTTACCGGTATAGTATCCGTTCCCAGCAATAAAATAGGTAAAACTCTCAGGCGTCCTTTTCCAGGGCTCAAACTAACGTTGTACCGAATTTTGAGCCTTTGATTTATTTTGTTCAGGTATCATCGCGGAGGGGTCTGGCAGCCCCGCGCCAGCGGTGATGGTGCAGACTCGACTACACGTGCTCGACGTCAATGAACACGCGCCCTCGTTCCATTCGCAGCCCTATGTCGTCCATATTGCAGAAAACACTCCTCCGCACACCAGTATCGTACAACGTAAGGGCTGCGCACTGTCTTAATAATTATATAAACATATCGACGTGACGACTCGACTGAAATACACAATCATATTCCAGTGATGGCGGACGACCCGGACGCCGGGACGAACGGCGAGGTTCGCTACTCGCTGGCCCACGAGGGCGACGACGGCGACGTCGCCGACGGCGCGCTGTTCGCGGTGGACCCGTACACGGGCTGGGTGACGACGCTGGGCGACCTGGACCGCGAGGCGCGGGCCGAGCACCGCCTGGCGCTGCTGGCGGCCGACGGCGGCAGCCCGCGCCGCGTGGCGCGCGGCACGCTGGTGCTGCGCCTGCTGGACTACAACGACTGCCCGCCCGCCTTCGCCGCGCCCGCGCCCGCCGCCGCCGTGCGCGAGGACGCGGCGCCCGGCACCGTGGTGCTGCGCCTGGCCGTCCGGGACGCGGACGCGGCCGGCGCGCCGCTGGCCTTCTTCGTGGCGGCCGGCGACCCGCGCGCGCGCTTCCAACTGCGCGCCTCGGGCGAGCTGTACGTGGCGCGCGCGCTCGACCGCGAGCTGGAGCCGCGCTACAGTCTGCGCGTCGCGGCCACCGACGGCAAGTTCACCGCGCACACCGACGTGCACGTCGACGTCCTCGACGTCAACGGTCAGTCGCCGCTGTCGTACGGCAAACCATTTAATTGTTTTATACGTAAACATAGGTAACATTTTAATTTTAAGTGAGATTTTAAGTAGATCATTCTTGTGTGAGGTTAAATATAAAATTCATTCTGACAATGTTTACCATCAGACAATCCACCGTACTGCCTCCGTCATCGGTACTACGCTCGCTTACCTGAAGACGCAGCGAACGGCACTCGAGTGATGACGTTGGAGACTGGCGACGCCGACGAACCTAGCGACGCCGGGCTTCGCTACTACCTCACCGGGGAAGCGGCGCATCACTTCCTCATCGACAAGGTGAGCGTCACGAGGCCTCGCCGGGCCGCGGCCGGGCCGGGCCGCGCCGGGCCGCGCCCGGGCCGGGCCGCTCTGACGCGCGCGTGTTGCAGGAGTCGGGCGAGGTGCGCGTGGCGGCGCGGCTGGACCGCGAGGCGCGCGCCGAGTACGCGCTGCGCGCGCATGCGCAGGACCGCTCGCGGCCCGACTGGGAGTGCAGTTCGGAGCTGCGCGTGTCGCTGGCCGACGTCAACGACAACGCGCCGCGCTTCTCCGCGCCCACATACAGCGTCACGCTGCCCGAGGACGCAGACATCGGGACTCTCGTGGCCAAGGTACTACCTGACCTTCCTTACATTATATATTATTTATTTAATAAATGGTCGATTAACAGCTACATTACACAGCAGACAAATATAGTAACATTGAACCACTTATAGATTCACACGAATACTGATTTAATAGGTAACAGCTAAGACAAAATTAAAATTTAAAAGTTGTAGCTTTCCTCAGACTTGTACAAAAGATATCTACATCATGTCTGCTACTGATGTCGTAGTTACTATTTGCTACCGGAGCACAAAGGGGTGCGTGCTTCCTAAAGGATTTCGACGGAACATTGAGGGACAACATTGAGGGTCTGAGGGTTGACCTATATCAGATGGATCAGAGTCCGGTGAGGAGTTACTAAAATCGATTGACTGATTCAGGAAAGTTGACAGAAAATACTCAGAAAATGCGTTACATATTGACTCGCCAGAAGTGAAAAGCTTATCTGAGTACCATAAGCTACTGGGTATATTATTACAACCTGAGCGTGCCTTGTAATAGGACCAGATTTAGGTCTAGGATTAGACGCGATAAAATTTTCAATACATTCTGTATACTGCTTGTAGCACAGCCCTTCAAGTCGTCGAGTCCTATCGCGCAACAGTTTAACGGTACTGCGTCAGATTTACACTTATACGTTTTATATGTATTGAAATATTTTAGTTCTTTCTTCATTTATTTATTTAAATCAACATCGGTTTCATCAAGCCATTCGGTGTCGCTTAATATTTGTTTAAAAATCGCGCGTTTGAAGAAAAAATAAATACACGAGATATCTTACTACACCCTCCCTCCCCCTTGTGTTATTTTCGTGATTTTTATCAAACCCCTCCCTCCCCCCCCCCTTTCAAACCTCATGTGATTAATGGACAACCCCTTATGTAAAATGAATGAATAAATGTTCGACGGGTTAACTTGGTCATGTAATAAATCTTTGAAAGGAGGTTTTTATCCTACGTGTATCTTACAGTATTTCACCCACACGTAATACAATTCATTTTTTCTGAATAACTGTAGCGGGCCGCGGAAACTTCTGATTTACAAGGCAGCAAGCAAAATAAATGCGTGTACCTTGGTAGTCGCTTAGCGCGGAACATTGGACATTTCGCCGGAGACCTGTGCGCCGTTAATTAAGCTCTTCATTAATATTGCAGGTGCACGCGACCGACGCTGATCTCGGTGAAAATCGTCTAGTGCGCTATTCTTTCGTGGAAGAAACGAGCGAGGTATTCGAACTTGCGGCCGACAGCGGCATCGTCACGCTGCGCGCGGCGCTGGACCGCGAGACGCAGGCCGAGCACCGCGTACTGGTGCGCGCGCAGGACGCCGGCCGCCCGCCGCGGTCCGCCACCGCCACGCTGCGCCTCACCGTGGCCGACGTCAACGACAACCCGCCCGAGTTCGAGTTCCACCAGTACCGCGCCACCGTGCCCGAGCTGGACGCGCCCGGCACCGAGGTGCTGCGCGTGCGCGCCACGTCGCGCGACGCCGGCGTCAACGCGGACGTCTACTACTCGCTCGTGGGCGGCGACGACCGCGACGACTTCGCCGTGGACCGCGCGTCCGGCGTGCTCAGCGTGGCGCGGTCGCTGGACTACGAGCGGCGCCAGCACTACTTGCTCACGGTGCAGGCCGTGGACGGCGGCACGCCCCCGCTCAGCGACCTGGCCACGCTCAACATCTCGGTGGCGGACGGCAACGACAATGCGCCGCAGTTCTCGCAGGCGCAGTACGGCGCGCGCGTGCGCGAGGACGCCGCCGTGGGCGCGCGCGTGCTGCAGGTGGTGGCGGACGACGCCGACGCGGGCGCCAACGCGCGCGTGTCGTACTCCATCGCGCGCGGCGACCGCGACGGTCGGTTCGCCATCGACGCCGACACGGGCTACGTGTCGCTGGCGGCGGCGCTGGACCGCGAGACGGCGCCCGCGTACGTGCTGGAGGTCCGCGCGCGGGACCACGGGCTGCCCGCGCTCGAGGCGACGGCGCTGGTCAACATCGAGGTGGTCGATGCCAACGACAACCCGCCCCTGTTTGCCCAATCCAACTACAGCGCCGTGGTGCAGGAGGACCGGCCGCTGGGACATACGATCCTAAAATTCGTCGTAGAAGACGCCGATGCACCCCCGAATGCGGCCCCTTATACTTTTGATTTTCAATCCGGCAACGAAATGGGAGCTTTCCGTCTTGAACAAGATGGTTACTTGCGGTCGGCGACACGCTTCAATCACCGTATTAAAGACAGATACGTTTTACAAGTCCGTGTGTTCGATAACGGCACGCCCCCTCTGTACTCTGACGCCTGGGTGTACATCAGGGTCATTGAAGAGTCGCAGTACCCGCCCGTCGTCACTCCGCTCGAGGTCGTCGTCAACTCTTACTTAGACGAGTTCCCAGGTGGTATTATAGGAAGGGTGTACGCTTCAGATCGTGACGCTTACGATACTCTCACATACTCAATCGCTCCAGTCGATGGCGCACCTTATCCTCCGACAGATCTGTTCGAAATCGATCCGTCCGACGGCACATTGAAAGCGGCGCCCCGACTCGACGTGGGAGAATATAGGCTAAACGTAACGGTCGACGATGGGAAATTCCTCGGTTACGCTATTGTCAAAGTTACCGTCATATTAATTTCGGACGAGATGCTCGCGCAGGCGATCGTCGTTCGTTTCCGCGAAGTAACCGATCGAGACTTCATTCTGAGCCATCGCAAAGGCTTCATCCGGGCGATCGCCGAGGCCACCGACTGCGAGCCCGGCGACGTGGTCATAGTGAGCGTGCAGCCCTCCGGCGACGCCGACGACGACGCCGCGCGCGCGCGCCGCCAGGTGGCGCAGGACCTGGACGTGGCCTTCGCCGTGCGCGCCGCCGCCGCCTTCTTGCCCGCCGACGCGCTGCGCCGCCGCCTGCACGCGCACCTGGAGCGCCTGGAGGAGCGCGCGCGCCTCGTCGTCGAGGAGCTGCTGCGCGCCGCGTGCGGCGGCTGCGTGCACGGCGCCTGCGCAGAGCGCGTGCAGCTGGGCGCCGCGCCGCGCGCCACGGCCGCCGAGGTCTTCGCCCTCGTGGCGCCGCCGCACCGGCTGGTGGCGCGCTGCGCCTGCGCGCCCGGCTACGGCGGCGAGCGCTGCGACCGCGCGCCGGCCGCCTGCGCCGACTGCCGCGGCGTGGCGGCGCTGGCGGGCGACGGCTACCTGCAGTACCGCCTGGAGCGCGGCGCGCTGCAGGGCGCGCGGCTGCCGGACGACGAGCTGGCGCTGTCGCTGCGCTTCCGCACGCGGCGCGATCGCGGCACGCTGCTGTACGCTGCGGGGCGCGTGGACTACGCGGTGCTGGAGGTGGCGGAGGGCTACCTGCAGTTCCGCATGGAGCTGGGCGCGGGCCCGGCGGCGGTGCGCGCGGCGGTGCCGGTGTCGGACGGGCTGTGGCACGAGGCGCGCCTGGAGCGGCGCGGCGCCAGCATGCGCCTGACAGTGGACCGGCGCAGCGCGCTGGCTCAGACGCCGGGGCCGGCCGCCGTGCTGGACGTGCGCGCGGACCGGCTCCTGCTGGGCGCCGAGCTGACGCGACACGCTCACGCCTTCGCAGCGGAACAGGTCAGTGCTGCACGTACCTACTGCATCTTTACTTTTCATAATATGCAGCAAATCAGTTACGAAACTAAACATATACGCTATTATTGCCAATTTTATTCAACGCCATTTTTGTGTGAAATATGTCCACGGCTAGGTAACGTACGGGTTCCACGGCTGCATATCGGACGTGAAGCTAGGCGGCGCGCTGCTCCCGCTGGAGGAGGGCGAGAGCTCCACGGACGGGCGCGCGCAGCTCGTGCGGCGCGTGCGCGTGCGCGTGGGCGCCGCCTGCCCCGCCCTGCCGCCGCCCACGCCCTGCGCGTCCTACCCCTGTCTCAACGGCGGCTCGTGCCGCGACCTGGCCGACCTGCTGGAGGCCGCCGAGCCCGACGAGGGCTACGCCTGCACGTGCCACGCGCGCTTCTCGGGCCGGCGCTGCGAGCTGGACGGCGACCCGTGCGCGTCGCAGCCGTGCCTGCACGGCGGCTCGTGCGCGGCGGCGGCGGGCGGCTTCCGCTGCGCCTGCGCGGCCGGCCTGGGCGGCGCGCGCTGCGAGCGCGGGCGCTGGTGCGCGGCCGGCGTGTGCGCGCACGGCGGGGCCTGCGAGGAGGGCGACTGGGGCCCCTCGTGTCGCTGCCGCGGCTACTACGGCCCGCGCTGCCAGTACGACGTGGACGAGTGCGCGGGCGAGCCCTGCCTCAACGGCGCCACGTGCGTCAACGAGCCCGGCTCCTTCCGCTGCCTCTGTCCGCCCGATAAGACCGGTACGTATGGCGGTGGTATTTTTTATTGAAACCATGCTAAATGTATTATTGCTTCGCAAAATCGAAATAATAAAACCTATTTCACTGGGTATTAAAAAAATGTCAGTATATCATTAATATTATAACAGGCATGAACTGCGGCAACCCGCTGTACTCGGACGCCGTCGTGGCGGGCGGCGCCGGCTCGGGCCCCGCGCTGGCGGCCGCCTGGCGCTGGGCGCTGCAGGCGCGCTGGCCGTTGGGCGCCGGCGCCGCGCTGCTGTTGCTGCTGGCGGCGCTGGCGGCGCTGCCGCTGCTGCTGCGGAGGCGCGCGCGGCCAGCGGCGGCGCTGGCGGCCGCCAAGCTGGCGCCGCGCTCCAAGCTGTCCAACCTGGAGGCGGTGCGGCGCGAGCGGCCCGCGTCGGCCGAGGCGCCGCCGCTCAACAACGTGGACACGCTGCGCAGCTACGGCTCGGCCGGCGACGAGCTGGAGGGCATCCCGCCCGACTACCGCCGCAACCTCAACATCGACGTCGGCGACCGCAAGCCCTGGTCCGAGCAGATGCACCTCCACACCTTCGTCGACAACAAGATATACAACGGTAACTACACGCCCCTGTCCTACCTCTATCTGAACTGATGCAACAAAGGTTCTACGGATATTGTAATATCCAAACGAATGATGTAATTACAGTGTTAATAATAACATAAAAGCAGTGTTATTCCTACTTCGAACGCATTTGCGATTAGGATAGTTAGATTTTAGGAGATACCATGTAATTTTAATTTTAATCCCGTGTTACAGATCTCAAAGGATGCAAGAGCAGGATACGCGCGCGGTCCCCGGGCTGCGTGCGGCGCGTCGTGGGCGCCGGCGCCGCCCCGGGCGGCCCGGGCGGCCCGGGCGGCCTGGGCGCCCCGGGCGCCGGGCCCGAGCCGCACCTGCTGGGCGGCTACCACTGGGACTGCTCCGACTGGTGCGGCGGCGGCGGCGCGCTGCCCGGCATCAGCGAGGTGGCGGGCTCCGAGCGCCCCGACTCGTCGTCCGCCGCCTCGCCCGCCTCGCCCGCCGCCTCGCCCGCGCCCCGCCGCCGCGCGCGCCGCCCGCGCCCCGACACCGATTTGGCGCCCGACGACATGGACGCGCCGCGCCTCACCGACGGTACCTCTCTACTTACGATTTGTTTCATTTGCATAGCTTATCGAAACTTCGATTCCTGCAGGCCGGCGCGTATGTATGAAACTGCGCATACATTTATAAATAATAAACGCCTGTGGAAGTGGACACTGGTCGTCTAATTTGAATGAGACGAAATTCTGTCCTTACAGTTTCTTCGTACCTACTCAACACGGACGATTACTGCGCGCGCACCGCCAGTGACTCCGAGCAGCTGCGCGCGCGCACGCTGCGCGAGCCCGACGCGGCCAGCCTTATCACTATGCTCGGTATGTACTCGACGCGCCCGCGCCCGCCCCCGCCCCTCGGCCCGCTCTCACTGGCTGTGTTACAGAGGAGCGGAACTCGCTGCTGGGCGGCGACGACGACGGGTCTGGCAGCGAGCTGTCGGCGAACCTGTGCGAGATAGAAGAGTCCGACGCAGAGACGGAGCCAGCGCTGAGCGCGCCGCGCCACACGGACGTGTGACGGCGGCGCGCGGCCCACGAGCCGCCTCCCGCGGGGCCCCGGGCCCCGCCACTGGGCCCCGCGCGGTCCTGGGCCCCGGCGCTGGGCCCCGCGCGCGGGCTCTAGCCCGCCCCTGCGACATGAACGCTTCTGTCGACTGTAGCTGTGTGAATGCTGACCTACCGACTATTGTAAAATATATAAGTTGATATTTGTAAGTGACACTTTTGCCGAAGTATGGATGCTCGAGACTAGATTCTATGCGCCTCGTATTGAATGAAATCACTCATGGGTAAACATTGGTTGTGATTTGACCTTTTCGTGTGAAACTGTGTGGACAACCGAGGTCGTCGAACTTTAGTTTCAAGTTCAGATTTTGTTGTATTTTGCATTTATGTTAAAGCATAATCATTCCAGAAATAATTACTTTCCCACAATAAGTTGTCCGTTGAACTGATATAATCTGAAAGAATGTCTGAATATAATGAAATAGAAAACGTCTGTAATGTACGATGTATGTGAATGCAAATTGTATATATAATTATAGTCTGATTCGCGTGATGTTTTTTCCTCGAGATCTGTGGACAAAGGAGGTATAAGACTTGTAAATAGTATTAGCACAGGTATTAGCATATAATTACGAACTAGATAGGTCACATTGTAAATAATGTTTATAATAGTAAGAAGTATACATATTTATCTTCCTTTTCCGCGATGTTAGAGCCGAGGTACTCCGCCGCGCGCTGCCGGCGACTCTTCAATACTCGAGACTACCACAAGACGACTGAGAACGTCACTGCGGCCCGACAAGTCCAGTACTGTGTACTATACTGTACTGTACTGTACCGGGTCTGTCACCGGCTCTTCATTTTATACAAATTGTATTGACGTGTTAGATAGGGACACATATTGAGAATCGTGAGTACGCGCGAGTGTGGACGAGACTGTGGGCGACGTGTCGCGCCCGTCGCGGGAATATATTAATGAAATGGTGCTCCAATCGTAGTTTCATATCATACTTTAAAACTGTGCATTTAAAATGAGTAGCTGATGCGTTCTCCTCCTAGATTAGTTTTAAATAAGGGATCTATTTTTATATGTACAAAGAGACACGCGGCTGTACTCCGTCTGTGACGGGCGCCGCGCGCCGGCGGGCGGGCGCCAGTGGGCGCCAGCGGGCGCCAGCGGCCCCGCCGGCTCCTCGCTGGCGCCCGCTCGCTGCTGGCCATCTGTATCTTTTTTTTATAAAGAAATGTTTATAAAATAAAAATAAATTATTCAATCGTTGTGTAAATTTTGACACGACCAATAAAGACTAACTGAAACAACTAACAACTGTTTTATTATTGTACTAACTCCTGGCACATGAAATTTTAACCCTTCCATGCGTCCATGGTTTAAGGCGACATACTTTTGGTTTTGTCATCATGAAAGAATTCATCAAGGATATATCGTACGACTGGCACATGTTATAATTGCAGCAAAGGACACAGATGAACTAACATTGACGTAGTCTTTAATTGTAAGGGCCAGTTAGATACTTTTTACAGCAGGATAGTAACTTGTCGCTAAATTCCTACTTTACAGGACTACCTAATTCTAATGACTACCAGCTAATCTGGCTGACCAGGGATGCTACACAAACTACTGTTTTGTATAATATCGACTGTATATTGTTATTATCCTTATAACCTTTTCGCCGCCAACGTACACCAAACGCAATGCCTCGCCGAGCGCCAAGCTATAAATGTATAACTAAATATACAGTAAACAGTAGTGATGGGGATATCGTCATATCGATGAATAAGATTTGTACGCGTATAGTTAAGATTTAAAGTTGATTTTACGAATATAAATAAAAACTGATGAAATATTTCCAGAGTGAAGTAGTTCATATTTTATTGACCTCAAATTGTTTTTAATATTATAATATTCGTAACTTTCTGTATCCATAAATATTTCAATGTTGAAATCAACCTTTCACGGCACATCACTGGCCAACTTGATATGAAGTGATTGGCGTTATGAATTTATGAAGAAAGCAACAATATTAGGAGTTTCTGTTTTTTACTGATTTTAGGACAAATTAAGGCAGAAGGCTTATTTTGTGTAGAAAAGTAAAAAACAGGGTATTAGACAGTGCTATCTTAAATAACAAAATGAAACAAAACTTTTAATCATGGAAAATTTATATGAATAATGGATAACCTTGGACCCTTATAGTATTGCCGGAGAATCTTAACACCGCGATTCAGAAAACGATCTCCAATAAAAAGCGCCATCTATGGACGAAAGTTGGAACACTTGTTTTCTGAACCGCGGGTTTCTTAATGTCATTTGCTTGACGGTTAGACATTCCGCCCACCAAGGACATTATACCACTATGTCCTTTTAAAGTTACAAAAAGTTACAACGAATACAGAAATAAGATTAACAATATGGCTTAAAGCTAACCTAAACTAATATAATTAGACAACGGGCAAAGCACACAGTTTAGATGTAGGCCTTTTGAATATAGAACCATTACTGCGAATTGTAACTACTCGTGTAAGATTGTCCAACCCCGGATGCTTTTCAACCACTCAAACGCGGCAAGAAACCCATTTGTTGTTAGGCCACTAACTGCTTCGATATGGACAACCTTAGTTGCCATACAGACGAATAAACAGATATACCCCTTGTATGCGTGATGACCTCTAGCCTTTGATGTTCTCAAATTGATAGGTCCAGCAAAATCTACCCCGCTACTTTTGAATGGTCTATTTGGTGTAACCCAGGTGGTAATTGACCCATTAACTGAGGTTTTGTAGAAGCTGTATGACGCAAGCAAGTTACACATTTTCGTACGTACGCAGTAACCAACCGTTTAGCTCCCTGAATATTATATTTTGTGCTTAAATAGTTAAGCATAAGTTGAGGTCCGCCATGTAGATTCCTATCATGTGCATCAGCAATCAGAAGATTAGTAAAATGAGAATTGCTAGGAATTAAAATTGGGTTTATACGATCTCTAGCAAGGTTAGAACGCTCCAGTCTACCGCCCACCCTCAAGATATTAACGGAATCAAGGTAAAGATTTAATGATTTAAACTCCTTTTTTTTAGGCTTCTCTTTTTTCAGGTCCAGAATTACTTCTTCGAAATTTCGACCCTGACATTATCCTTATACATGTCTCCAAAGTTAACTTCATCTCTTCGGCAGTTATAAATGTTATTCTAACAAGTCTTGTAAGTAATGAATATTTATCCCAGATGAAATTGTCTTCTGATACTACATGTACCTTTATTGCTTCTACATCTGTTGATACTGCCTAGTGTTTACTATATATAGTTTTATCTTTTAGAAATCTCGGACCCTCTAACCAAAGTTTAACATTCAAAAATTCTGACGCATAGAGACCACGCGATGCGCAATCAGCCGGATTGCTTTCTGACTGAACGTGATTCCATTGCTGTGGTTCACTGATACACAAGATTTCAGAAACTCTATTTGCTACGAATGTTTTCCATTTGTTCGGATGGCAATTTAACCACGCTAATACAATCTCTGAATCAGTCCAGTAGTACCGATTTGATTTACTTATCCCCATAACCTCGGAAACTTCGGATAGAAGTTTTGCCAAGAGAACAGCCCCACACAGCTCTAATCGAGGGACTGATACAGTCTTTATAGGAGCCACCTTAGTTTTTGCGGTCAGGAAATTGACATGTATTCCACCATCAGCATCGACAACCCGTACATATACTACCGCAGCATATGCTAATTTTGACGCGTCGCAAAAACCGTGTAATTCAATCTGCTTGTCACCGTGCTTCATGTGTAACCATCGAGGTACTGAAAACTTCGTTAAAAAGTGTAACTCTTGTCGGTAAGTAAACCATTCTTTTTTTTTTTTTTTTTTTTTTTTTTATTTTATATGAAACTTCCTCATCCCATGCAATCCCAGAAATCCACAATTTCTGAATAAGCATTTTTGCTACAATAATTACTGGGTCGACCCATCCTAAAGGGTCAAATAGTCTTGCTATATCTGATAATATTTTCCTTTTTGTTACAGGTTCTTGCAGCGCAGGTAGCTGAACGGAATATTGGAAAGTGTCACAGGTACGGTTCCAGGTAAGTCCTAACGTTTTAAATACTTCATCTTGTTTTATGCTTATCTCTTTCTCTACATTAAGTTGTCCCTTGAACGAGTGTCTTTTCCCGATCATTTTTTCCAGTAACTCACTGCTGTTGCTTGACCACTTTTGTAAAGTGAATCCCGCCTTTGAAAGTAACTCGTTCATTTGATCATAGATTTGCATGCCTTCTTCTATCGTGTCACAACCAGTCATCAAATCATCCATGTAATAATCTTTAAGTACCCTTTCAGCTGCGAATGGATATTTCTCCTTCATCGTACGCCACTTGCTGCATCGATCGCACTGCCAAAAAAGGTGCTGAAGAGGTACCAAAGGTAACAGTAAGTAATTTGTAATGTTTTAGTGTAGAATGCTTGTTATCTCTCCACACGATACGCTGAAAATCAGTGTGATGGTCAGCAACGCGTATCATTCGGTACATTTTTACGATGTCCGAGACAAGGCAAATGAAACATGGGCGGCGGTCGCCTCCTTCTGCGAATGCGTAATATCGCAGAAGGAGGCGGCAGAGCGTGAGCGAGAGGAAGACGCCCTCGCTCCAGCGCTCCGACGGCGCAGACTTGGTAGGAGAAGACGGCAGTACAACCGCCTTCTCCCTCCCGGGGGTGAATAGCGGGTGCTAGGCGCGGGGGCGCCTGCATCCGCATTGCACTACTCACCTTTTGCGGGACGGGAACGGTTGGCACACGACCGTTCCCGAAAGTTAAGTAGTTAAGTTCCCGTTAGGTTAGGTTAGGTTAGGTTAGGTTAGGTTAGGTTAGGTTAGGTTAGGTTAGGTTAGGTTAGGTTTTCACCCGGTCTCCCAGACCCCCCCTCACATGGCGACGCTGGTGTGCTCCTGGGTTTTTAGTGGGTATGCCGGGCTTCTCCCGGAGAGTCCCACATATCCCTCCCGTCCCCCCACGGGAGGATGATACATAAAGTATTTTCCCAGGGTCAAAAAAAAAAAAAAAAAAAAAAAAAAAAAAGGTTAGGTTAGGTTAGGTTAGGTTAGGTTTTTTTTTTTTTTTTTTTTTTTTTATACAGCAGGAGGGGAAATCCTCATGGAGACTCACACCTCCCCACGAATAGGGAGGTGTGAGTACTGCCGGACTCTTACCGGCTAAAACCCCTCCTGCTGTGCCAAAGTGCTCCTCTGACGTGATCAGAGACCTGAATTTACGTATTTTCGTATTTTCATTGCCCTTTCAATGGAGACCTTTTAGTAATAATATATATAAATAAAATAGATAATTTTTAGATTTATAGATAATAGATATATAGACGTAAATATATACATATTTTGGCGCTACTGTCATATATCATTCTAATATAAATACTAAGCGCCACATATTTCCGCCCGCCGCTTGGTACATTCCCTGAGGTTTGGTGCTTTCCGTCATTGTCGTGCCGTTCTCACGCAAACGCTCCACCATGTGTAACATGCCTTTTAGAGACGTTTGCGTGGCCTTCTAGGACTTCCGACAAGATGGTCTAAGCTGCCAAGACCTGTGCTCATCAAGTGAGGGACATCGTCTCGATTTCCATTGTTTTGGTCTCTGACCACGCCTTTTAATGTCACAAAGACTCTCTGTGCAGGCGCTCGACGGCGGCGATAAGCCGATCGCATAACACCAACCGTGAGTTGCTACATAGCCAGTGGTGTCAAATCCCGGCAGGTCCACCCCTTGCTGAAACCACCACGGCAATCTAATTGGCCACTTCTTAAATTTGCACCCCTTTTGATGAAGTTGTACACAATTTATTGTCTCCAACCTCGAGCCGTAGCGGTTCCAGCCATCATCCCGCCGCGTCGCCGCCAAGCCATCTTCACCACCGCCAAGCCCCTGCAAATTTGCACCACTCTTTCCGCATGGGGAACCACCCGTTCGTGCATCGGTGCCTGTTTTATAATCTGCCTGTGGGACGCCAAACACCACCTTAGCAATAACTAACGGCCGCTCGGGCCAAGGCGTCCCACTTTCTACGGACAGGGCAGTCCTGGGCGAATATAGAGTGACCCGTGTTGTTTTCGCCATTTCTATTGCAGTTTATGCAGG